ATTGGTGATGCTGCAAAAAATCAAATAGCTTCTAACCCAAATAATACTATTTTCAATGCAAAACGACTTATTGGTCGTAAATTCGATGATGAATCTCTACGTACTGATATGGTGCATTGGCCATTTAAAGTAGTTAACTATATTGGAAAACCAAAGATTTTAGTTGAATATAAAAATGAAACAAAATTATTTACACCTGAAGAAATATCATCAATGATATTAATAAAACTGAAAGACATGGCAGAGACATATCTTGGGAAAAAGATTACTGATGCTGTTATTACTGTTCCTGTTTCTTTCAACCATTCACAATGGGAAGCAACAAAGAATGCTGGTGTTATTGCTGGTCTCAATGTATTACGTATTTTAAGTGAAACGACAGCTGTTGCTATTGCTTATACTCTTGATAAAAACGTTTCTGGTGAAAGAAACGTGTGCGTTTTTGACTTGGGTGCTGGCACATTTAATGTATCCATTGTAATCATAGAGGAAGGTATCCTTGATGTTAAATCAGTAGCCGGTAAATTATAATTTTTTTCTAGATTTTTATTTTAAACCGTTGTTTCAGGTGATACACATTTAGGTGGAATAGATTTTGATAATCAAATGGTTGCACATTTTGTACAAGAATTCAAACGTAAACATAATAAAGATCTATTACATAATGAACGTGCTATTCGACGACTACGTTCTGCTTGTGAATCTGCTAAAGTAAGTTTATTTTTATTGAGAATACATCCTGTTCCGCAGTTTTGAACATTGCAGAATCAGTTCTCATAAATTCCGAAAACTAAACATCATTCAACAAATTGAGATTATTCGGCAACGTGAAACATCGTAGAATAGGATAACTGCTCTTTTTATTTCATCTTTAAGAAAGAGAATGAGCATCCAATCTATCCGCCTCACTCTAAAAGTCTACATATTGATGAGATATCCTAAAACCAAAAGATTCCGAATACCTCTTTTTCTTTCTTTAGCATACTTTATCAACATCATTTCAAGCATCAATTGAACTTGAATCATTACATGAAGGTATTGATTTCTATTCAACAATAACTCGCACTTGTTTTGAAGAAATGAATGCTCATTTATTTCGTTTGATCCTTGATTTGGTCGCAAAGGCTTTACGTGACGCTGAGATGGATAAATCAAGTATTCATGATATTATTTTGAATGGTGGTTCAACACGTATTCCACAAATACAAAAGCTTCTACAAGAATTCTTTAATAATAAATAATTAAACAAGTCACTGCACCCAGACGAAGCTGTGGCATATGGTGCTGCTATACAAGCAGCTATCTTAACTGGAGATAAATCAGAAAAGATTACAGATACGCTTTTACTGGATGTTGTACCATTTTCATTAGTAGGAAAATACAAAAAAATTAGAATCCTCATCTAAATTTTATCTTTTTAAAGGGTATCGAAACAACTGGTGGAGTTATGACAGCACTACTTAAGCGTAATACAACGCTTCCAACAAAGCAAACAAAAACATTTACAATTAAGTCATATACCCAATCTAACAATATCGTGACAGAACTAGTTATATGTGATGAACCAATTCCAACAAAAGAAACAAAAACAGCAACAACTTCATCAGACAAACAAGTTAGTGTTGATATTAAAATATTTGAAGGTGAACATTCATTGACAAGATATAATCATTTACTTGATTCTTTCACACTTTCTGGTATTTCGTTAACATCGCCGACTATGCCACAAATTGATATTACATTTGATTTTAATGCAAATGGTATCTTAGTTGTTTCAGCTGTAGATAAAACTTCTAGGCAAGAAAATAAAATTACAGTTACAAATGATAAAGAACGATTATCTAAATATGAAATAGAATATATGATTGCTGATGCTGAAAAACTCAGAAGAGAAGATGAAACACAAGATGAACGTATATTAGCAAAAAACTCACTTGAAGAATATTGTCTTCACGTAAAAGCAACAATTAATGATAAACAGATGACAGATAAAATTGATAACTATGACATGAAGAAAATGATTTTCGCCATTGAAGATACAATGGAATGGCTGGAAACAAATCATGTAAGCGAAATGTTATTGTTAACTTTGATTTTATTTATGCTTTTGTAGTTTGCTGTGAAAGAAGAATTGGAACAAAAGTTAAAGAAAATTAAAGGAATTTGTTCACCAATACTGGAGAAATTTCGATGAACTAAAGAGTACATTAGAAGAATTTCCAAATGACTCAACATCTGAGTAACTTCATACTCCTTTTAACTGCAGCTCCTATTTTTATGATAAAAATTCAGAAATAATAAATTTCTTTTTGCTTATAGTACTTTGATATTTTTCTATTGATTTGGTCTGAAGTAACGGTGTGAGGATGAGGGTGTGGGTATCGATGTCGGTGAAGCTCTCGATGAAAAGAATAATCATATCCACACCATCAAGATGGTCAAGATTGAAGAATAAATAAAATAGTATTTATAATTTAAATTTTTATTTCGTGACCGAAATAGATTTTATTTTGTAGAAAATAATGAAAGTATAAAAAAAAAAGTAAAAAAAATGACAACAATCTGTTCATTTTTTTTAATTATAAAAACTATTTAAAACAAACAAAATCTCTAGTTTATCAATGTTCAGACATATTTGCAGTTGTTCTCATTTCTATATAAATTATATACAATTTTGATTTATTTGAATCTATTGGATTGAAATCAGCAATTGGATATTTTATTATTTTCTGGCTTGCTTTTACAATCGACTCTATACAAAAAAAAGTTAATAAAATCATCATATATTCAAAATCAGTAATATTATACTTACGCCATGTTTCCTGGCATAAAAAGTCTTCTACAAACTTCTTGTGCTGCTATAACAAATTGGTTAGGTGGAATATTCAATGCTGGTTTCGGAATAGATTGTCGATTAGCTCGATCGCGTGGTGACCGATAGGGTGAAAAGCGTTGGACAGAACGAACTGAATTTAACTTTCTACCATGATCTCTAACAAAGGTTGGCGCTGATTGTTGAAAGGAATTATCTGTGTATGAAAAACTAGGAGGACAGATAGACCCAACGTGATTAGCATCAATACTATTCTGAATTTTATTAGATAATAATTCTTCTAAATTAGAATCATTTACATCACAAAGTATAGCATCTTTTTTATTTACAAAATAAGAATGTGACAGTCTAGCAGGTGAATTAGAAGCAGACGAAAATGTATTGGCTGCTCGTTTATATACTGGATCAATTGTTTGATGTACATTCTCCGTTGGCTTTGTCATATATCGTAGCGAATCTTTGCTCCTGAATTTTCTTGGTATATCACATTGATGTTGATTTGTTTCGGGAGTCAATGGTTCAAAAGTTGTCCACATCTGTTTAACCACGATGACACTTGTATTGCGCGGAATTAAATCTGTATCGTTTTCGTACTCTAGATAGATATTAAAAATGTGTATAAAAAGGAAGAGTATTAAATAGAAACATACCTTTATTAGTTGAAGCATCCCTGATGATAAAATCAGTCTCGTCTTTCAAACGACGTGCCTTGAATGTTTTCCCTGGTTTACCAATTAAAAAATTTTGAAGATCTCCTATGCAGCAGCCTATTCCATTACAAGGAAAGAAGCTGAAATCTTTCTCAGATTTGCATCGGTATCGAATAAAGAACATTGTTTTAGCTTGGGCAAAAAAAGCAAGTAAAGAGACAAGAATAGTTTCAAACTTTTATTTTGAAATAAGAAAAATACGAAAATAAACGAATGTAAAAAACACAGTCAGTAAAAAAAACCAGTTGAAAATGATGGTGGAGAACAAGAATAAATTACAGGAGTACAGACGAATTGAAAGAAACTGATGTATATATAAGCAAGATATCAGCTTGACGCGATAAGAAATTTCCTTATGACTCATATATCTTTTGCAATAACATTGACTCATGACGTAAGAGTGTAAAATCCAACAGAATGAAAAATTGCATGCATCATCTTTCAATCCGTTATCTTACTTCTAGAAAAAGAGCAAAGAATCATGACTCATTTATATCTTTATTCAATTATATTTCATCAAATAATGTTAATATTTGAAAGATTGATAAATCATTCTCCCACGTCGAGAAACGCATTACATTCAAGTTCGCGTTACATAATATTTCCTCCATTATCGAGTTCGTTGAAAGATCATAATGGCGGAACAAAGATATATATATAATGTTGAACGAATTTTTTAAACATTAATTGTTAAGTATTTCAGAAGTAATTTTTAATTCAAAAAAATTTTTCTTTTATATTTTAAATTTATTTTTATTATAAATGTTTCAGATGACAGTTTATTATTTTTCAAGATGAAAAAAAAATCAGTTTTTTTCGTGATTTTTTATATTCTTTTTTGCAATTTTTTGTGTTTTCCTTTTGATTATTTTGTGTTTAGTAACTGTATGAATCTTTTTTGTTTTTTTACTGCTGTTTATGGATTTTTTTATTGAAATTTCGAAGCTGAGAATTTTTTTCAAGAAATAAATAATATTAGACTAGGAGTACATTAAAAATAAATATTATCATAATTAATAATTCAGTTTAAGCTAAGGAGAAAATCTAAATGAACACCATACACAATTCATTTTATAAGTTATCCTACTATGTCTGACAATCAAATGCATTTTCCTCATTTCGTTTTGTGAAACATGAACTAAAGAAGTGTTGAAGTATTAGGGGTAGAAATTAGTACCCATTTCTTCTTCTCCCCCCACCACAGACGTGACAAATATTATTGATTCTCATTAACTAATGTTAAAATAGTTATTTCATTTTTCACATTTAAATCTCATAGTGATCGAGGTTGTTTTCGTTGTATTGTTTGTTGTTTTGTTTGTTTGTATTCATCTTCATGAATAAATAAGAACGATCACAACAGTGACTATCAAACATTTCTTTACTCAGAACATGTCGAGCAACAGTACGTCAGCACTGACTTACTAATAAAAAATTCGAAAAAAAAGCAATGTCATGTTTCTTTCATTCGTGTTGTGTGTACACACGGATCACAATAATAGAAAGAAAAAAGAAAAAATGCTTGCATAACAATGACGATGCAAATATATTAACCTATAAATATATATGCGCTATGCATGATGCAGTCAATTAATTCGACTTTTGAAATGCATTTAGCTACGACAAATCTTGCTGTAGTGAATAAGCTTATAGCACATACACATGCCAATCATCATGTTATTGACCATCATGGTTTTTACACACACACCGCTCATCATTTGGGATCACTGCATTTTTTGGGTGCTACCGATAACAAAATCGAAGAGCTATACAAAGGCATGCACGATGAAATCAATTTTTACCAGGATTCACCACATGAAATCACTCGTACGAATTGGCGACAGTCGATTGGTGACAAGCGTTTTTGCAAGGCTTATCAGGAATTCTTCGATCAAGAATTAGCGGCAGCTGGGAATGATTGGCGTAAGAAATTCATGGAATTCCTATTAGATAATGAATCAGGACCGTTGATTAATTGTGTGGTTGCTGGTGTAGCACATCCTCTCATTCATATTGGCTATGCATTCGAATTGGATAGTATAGTTGTGGCTTCTGAAGCATTGACAATGTGTGCCGCAAGTTACAATTATCTTCATGAAGTAATTGACAAGTTGAAACCACCTAAATCTGGTTCAAAATCAGCTCTAACAATCTTTCAAGATCTTCGTTCCGATCATCGATTGCCACTATTTGATGGTCCAGGCGTCGATAATCTAGAACCCACTGTAAAACAAGCGACCGATATAATTCTGTCTCATTACGATCAATGGCTTGTGAATGTGAACGATCTGGAAAAAATAGTTGAAGAATTATTCGATCTAACAGTTTATCTCTATGGTGCTACACATAAACCTGATCAGATCGAATTCGATTTTTTTCTTCTTCATCTGCTCACTTCCATGAATGCGATTCGAGTGATATATCCACATCTGAATAATCGACAAGTCGCCGAACATATTCTTTATCAATTTTTCTATTTCGCCAGCGCCATCTATATCGGTCAGCTTCGGCCGGAGATCAATAAAACATTAATTCACGACTATAATATTGATTATGCCAAACAAAATTGGAACTATGTTATTGAACAATCAATGAATACTGATTTGATTGGACACAGTCATTTCTTGAAAGTCATACGCAGCTTGAGAGATGCAGAAGCTGTGTATGGCTTCAAAGATGGACTTTACTTGAAAACAGCAGTCAAAACTATCGAGAATATAAATATAGACAACATGTGGATTGGAGGATCCACAAATCCTCGACAGCTGAATGTACTCAAACGTGCATAATATATTTCCATCCTTTAGAGCAAGATTATTTTCCACAGCGATATCTTTTGAACAATATAATTTAACTTCACTAACAATATACAACTTTATGCTGCCGATGGATGTCTTTTTTGATCAACCTTGTGATTAACAGTATGAATCTCATAACATTTGATTAAAATCTCTCTTACTTTTTTACACTTATATTCATTAAATATAATAAAGAATGCTTCATAATAATTCAAGGTAATTTATCATAACAGTTTTGATACTTATTCGTGCTATAGAAAATCAAATATGTACTAACAAAAATAATTCGATTGATAGAGATCGACAAACAGTATATAACTGATTTGCAATTTATTTGCTTAGAAAAACTATTGTCAATTAACATATATAATACTGACAAGAAGTGACAACTATTTAGACATGACTTTTAATGATACAATTGGCTTTCTTCGTTTAGCCAATAGTCTTAAATTTGTCGTTTCTTTCCACAAGTACCCTCTTTCTCTTTGTTTTTATCTTTCACATTCTGCATCATAAAGTCCCGATCATTACTCTCTATGCACAATATTAACAATCGAATAACGACGCAACATATACAAAGTGAAGAATAAAAATCGATCGGTTGGAGCCGTGAGAAAAGAAATAATTTGTCGATCACGTACAAAATTAAACGTGTTACAATCGAAAGCAACGACGAGTGTCTTTACTCTCTATTGCATTACTATTGCGACTATTTCTTGATTTCGATATGTCTTCGGGTGTGAAAGGACAAGTACTAAAACTAACTGGTGATTTTATGCCTTGTGGTGGGGAAACCGATTTGTCGAGAAATTCACGGAATTCAACAAAACCTCATAAGAATATTTTTGTTATTGCATTAAAAGCACCAGTATCAGAAAATGAATTCAATAGTAATTCAACTACATTAGAATCAATTCAGCATCATTCGAAATTTATCAAAATGACTGAAACAAATTCTATGGGTGAATATACATTATATTTACCACCAGGTCTCAGAGTGACTATTGTTATTTGGCTAAATAATGCACTGTATCTTAACTTGTACGAATTTGTACACACACAAATGGAGTGGCATTCACTCACTGTACCTCAATCAGATTATATCACTTTCAATATTAAAGATACTAAAGATGCTGTAAGCTAAATGCATTTATTTGATTGTATAAGACACATTTTTTTCGAATTTTTTTCATTACTACTACCGTATTACTTGTATTAAAATATCATCAAGAATAAACTATCTCAATAGTCACAGACTAATTTCATTAATAACAGTTTAATCAAACAATAATTTTTCATATTCATATCAATCGAAGATATTATAAAAATTCACTTCATTTACCGACAGTCAATATTTGTTTTTCTATCATTGCTTATTCTTTGTACTAAAATTTAGTCTTGATGCTGACATTTCAAATTGTTTAGTCGGGACAGCACTTGTCTTGCTTTGATTTATCTGCAGACTGTAAGGGTGCGGATGTGGATATGAATGTAGGTGGATCGGCGTGGGCGTACATGGGTGTGGGTGTGGGTGTGGGTGTGGGTGTAGATGGGTGTGTGATTGTGAATGTGGGTGACTGCAGATGTGCGTCTAGGTCTGGGTGTAGGTGCGGATATGAAAAGAAAATCATACATACACCCACACCCACACCCACCCACACCCTATCTGTTAGGTAGGATCTCTTACTGTTAGGAATCAAAATTGAATTCCCATTCTCAATGATTTGTAAACTTATAATAATCTGCGACAAAATAAAACTAAATATATTTTTAAACATCACAAAGGGTCCAGAGCCATGCAAAACTAAGTTCTGAGCCAGAAATTCAAGACTTAAAAAAAAAACCCACAATAAAGGGAATCCTACCAGTCTTATCTTTATTCATTTGTCTATCAACAATACGTTCTTTTTTTCAATTTAAAAATAGTTGTCTTTCTTAATAAAATAATACCCCAGGTTGTATCTTATCGGCCGCAGAGCTACCATTTTCTTATAATATTATCACCGGCAAACATTTGGAGTATGCGTTAAAGAAAAGAAAAAATAAGTTTTATCTTTGATGTGGTAACTACTATATAAGAAAAAGTGAAAGACAGAGTAACAATATCTTCATTTAGTGTTCGTCGTCGAACATTTGCTGTTCTTACTTACAACAACACATCTACAATAACATGACATCCAAGAACGAAGGTTCATATTCGTCGCCAAGAAATAGTATTCATGCTGATGAACTCTTTGATCAACTTGATGCCAACAACGATGGTGTAATTGATCGTGATGAATTAGCAGCGTTGGTTGGTGGTAAACATAAATCATCGTCGTATGAAGCGTTAAAACGTTCATCTGGTGTCGGCTATGAAGATGTTGGTCACAGTGGTACCTATCATACACATTCATATGAAGTAAGCAGTGATTATGATGCTGAAGCACTTAGGCGAGCTGCTAGCTACACTGCTGAGACCGATGCAGCTTGGTCCAGATATGGTGCTGAAGTACGAGGTGTTGGTCTCTATTACGATCCTCATCCTCAAATAATTCGACGACAAATACCTGGTGGTACTCACACCTTTACCCAACACATTCGAATCCGCTATTTACAACCACCACCTATTGCATCAGCTGGTGTAAGCTAAATTTAGTATTTTTTTTTCTTAATAATCATTGTATTTCTGTAGCCACTCATCATCAAAGAAGTGCGTCCACCTACACCTGCTCCTCTACCACCGCTTCGTATTATACAACATGAACCAGCTCCTCCACAACTTCCTCCACTTATTCTTCGTGAAAGACCACCTACACCACCAGCTCAAATTCCTTCAGAAACAATTATCCGAAATCTTCCTGCTTTACCACCACCACCACGATCGGTCATTATTGAACGTTATCCAGCTCCTCCACCTCGACCACGTTAGTATATTTTTTTTCATCCATATTATCTCATGTCATTAATATCAACTTATATTACAGGGGATATTATCATCGAACGTTGGCTTCCATATACTGCTGGTGGTGATCGAAAAACAATCGTGCTACGAGCCGAAGAAGCTAAAGAATATAAACCAGCACGTAATGTCATCATCGAATACGAACCAACTGGAGCTCGTGTTGTTCGAGAATTTCAACAATTGGGTGTCACTCGAGAAGATCCAGAAACTTATGTTCATCAATATCGAACAGAATTACTTGGCACGCAAACACTTATTGAAAAAGCTCGTGCTTCTGGTGTTATTGAAGATATTGTAAGTATAAATAGATTTTTATGATTCTTCTTTGTATTTCTATTTATTTCTCTTATTTGTTTAGTCTATTCCATCTGGTGTGACTTCACTAACACACAGTACAGATGTAACTTATAGAACTGGTAGTGAATTTGATTTAGTTAATGACGATATAGGTGGTTATTCATCATCACACACGACCGGTGGCTACAAAATTTCGTCTGGTAATCGAAACGGTATGTGTAGTGTGTCTTTTTTTTTGTTTTATTTATTTTTCATACATTGAAGGTCGTCATGTCAGTGGTGAAATTGATGATGGTTATGTTGGAAAAGGTAAAAGTGAATATCGCACAACAACCTATGAAAAAACATATTCATCAGGCGGTGGTGCTACCTCTAGCATGGCTTCTACTGGTTTCACTAATACCAAAGCTAAATATTAAAAATTTTAGCCCTTCTTACATATATGCCTCTTTTCTATCTACTTTTTAATTATAAGGATACAATTTTTTTGACTTCAGTGCTTTTTTCATTATTATATTCGGATTACGCTTCGCCTCATAGCTTGCTCCCATTTTTTTATTAATAAATGAGAAATTTAGAATAAAACATTACATATTATAAAAATATCTTTTGTATGATTATATACATATATTTATTTTAATATCAAGCACTGAAAACAGAAATACGATCAATCATTATTATGGGTGTGATAAATGGTGCTTCTTTTTTTGATGTTCGTTTACCTCGAAAATACAGAGATATATGTAAAAACGAGCAAAATATATATAATTATTAGGAAAAAAATGAGGATAAAATACAAGAATGTGGATGAGGATGTATAACAACTTTGTACCTTCTCCCACATTCACCAAAAATCATTGTATTCATTTTTATGTGTTTTTGTATCCATATATTGTATATCTTTCTCAATGCTATCTTTTGTATTGTATTGTGTTATGATGTTCATGTAGTTTTATGATATTACAACGTGTGTGTACTACAACGTAAAAATCAATATTTTGCATCAAAAACATTTAGTTTGTTTTTATGAAAAAGTGTATCAAATGACATTTACCCTTTGAGAGTTGTGATCACAAGGTGAATATGCAATTAAATTTAGATATTTTTCTACATTATCAACCAAATCAAAGGAAAGACATTGGTAATAAACGTGAATTTCATATTTTTGTTGTATTGCGTGAATAGTAACAAAGTGTAACTTATTTCTTTCCATATATTTTCTATCACATGTGAATGTCAGGCGTTGTCACATGAGGATAGTAATGAATTGTTTTTATCTAATGAGAACAACATTTTCTGTTTGTCTACCTCTATATATATACACACACCTATTCTCATAGTTTCACAAATCAATTCTCATCTTACTCCAGTTTTATTCTTCACTACATTATTACTATTAATATGCCAGGCTGTGGTTGTGGTTGCGGTTGTGGATGCGGTTGTGGTTGCGGCTGTGGCTGCGGTTGCGGTTCATGCTGTGGTTCATGCTGTGATCCATGCTGTTGTGATCCTTGTTGTTGTTCTTGTTGTGATCCCTGCTGCTGTGATTGTTGCTGCTGCGGTCCACGATGTTGTGTAACTAAAACTGTGTGTTGCTGCAAACCATGTTGCAAAGTCATCCGAAAGAAAACCGTCACTGTCAAAAGATCATGTGCCAAGGTTTGCTGTTGCTAAATTAACATTTTTGATCTTTTTCTATGAACTCATTCAATATCTAATGTACAAATGTTAGACAACACTCTAACAACATTCGTATTATTTTTTTCTTCTCTATTTTCTACATCTTTCTTTTTCTTATTTTATTGTACGTGTTTGTTTACTTCTTGCTCAATTAGAAAGAAGATGTATTTTACATCATCTTCTTTGTTTTTATTCACTTTGACAAGAAGTAAGAGGGATGCACTTAGAATTTGTGTGTGCCTGGATAGGATGGGTATAAATATCTAGTTTTTTAAAAATAAAATCAATTAATGAACAAGGAAAATATTCTTCTCCATTGATTTTATTATGATTATGATTAAAATAGAAATTTTGAGAAAATTTATGAAATAGAATCATTACAACTTCTTTTTTTTTCTCATCAAGTTACATGTGGCCTACTCTGCAGTATCATTGATGCATCATTTTCATTTGTTATCTATTACATATGTGATTCATTCATAAATATATCTTATCTTTTTTAGCTTACATACATCTTCAATTTACCTTTGTTGTGTTGTAACACTAAACTTTTTCTTTTTTCAAATTATACTGATAGGTGTCTTTGTTGACGAAAATTCTTATCATGTATATTCGAACATTCAATAATGAGCAGAGTAACAAAGTTTTATTAACGTTTCTGTATGTTCAAATTGTGTTCTTATGTTGTTTGCCGTCTGTGGAATCGATAAAGGTGAGTCCTTGTGCAAAATGGAATACAACAGGCAATATAGTGGCTGGTGTTGGCGGAAGAGGCGACAAGTCTGATCAACTTAACGGTCCCATGGGAATTTTTATTCATAGACCAACTAATACATTGTATGTAGCTGACTTAAGCAATAATAGGGTACAAATGTTTGAACTGAATAACTTGCAGACAACGGGTACTACAGTAATATTTAATATTACATATCCTACAAAGATCTATGTTGATGACGACATGGATGGACAAACAATTTATGCTGCTATTGAAGGTGATAGTGCTGTCAAAAAGTGGACCAAAGGAGCATCAGAGGGCCTACAAGTGGGAGGTGAATGTTTCTACTGTATGGGTGTATCGGTTGACAAAGAGAAAAATGTCTATATGTCATCGCCTGGTAGAAGTTGTGTGTACAAATGGTCACCTCAAACGAATATCACAACTATGGCTGCTGGTCAAGAAAATTACCCAGGTATGGAGAGCGAGCATCTCGATGCTCCTGAAGGTATTTATGTTGATGGAAACAGTGGTACGGTGTACATCGCTGATTTTTCCAACAATAGAATTCAGAAATGGGAAAAAGATGCACACAATGGTACCACTGTGGCCGGACTGAGTACAGGAGAAGGAGGTAGTGATCATGAATCATTGGCGAGACCAAGTTCTGTATGGGTTGATGATGAAACTCATGTTGTATATGTGGCTGATTCAGCCAATGAACGAATTCAACGTTGGTTATATAATGCATCTATGGGCGATACCATTGCTGGTGGATCAGGTATGAATATAGATTTCTAACTGATTTTCTTCGATTTATCAGACATTAGGCGAGCTCCCAACGGGATTTGAATTCGAAGCACAAGAGAGTTAGTTTAACTACGATGAAGAAATCTCACTATTACCTATTCTACTTCGTCTTGAGACGGAAAATCTGCTTGCTTAACAATCCTTTTTCACTGTTTGTATATTATTTTGAAAAAGCCTCGATTTAATTTTTGTTAGTAACGTGATAAAGTAAGATTATACAAAAAAAAATTTGTTTGAATTTGCATTTTTTATCTTACGATGCGTGACAATAGGTACGGGCGATAAACTGACGCAATTTGATCAGCCGATCGATTTAAAATTTGATAATGATGGCAACCTCTATGTGTGCGACCGTCTAAATCATCGTGTTCTTATGTTTAAACTAATTAACAATGAGCCATGTTCTCCAACATCGACACCAACATCAACACCAACATCGACAACAACATCAACAGGTAGTTTAAGTTCTCTATCTTCAATCGTTTCTTTCTCAATTTATATTGTGTCTTTAGGAAGCTCATCATTTCACAAGTGAGTATAACATTACATTTTCTTCACATTATAAGATTCGTTTAATAGAATGACAATGGCTATGGTTACTTTTTCAATCTTAATATGGATAATTATGTGATTATTTTGTCTTCATTGACTATTCGACGTACTTATTCAAACAGAACACAATACATTATTTTTTATTTCAAATTATTTTCTCTTAATAAACCATAACAAAGTTCCATGCTAGCTTTCTTTCAGATGATTTCTTCAGTTCATTATCCCAGTTAATAAAGTCGAAAAGTGTGGGTGTACTCTCTGTCATCTATCCACACCCACATTCATCTTTTCTTTTCAAGTTTTATTCATTATAACTTGATATATCCTGAATAAATATCTATATATTCATCATTATCTTTACAAGTGACATTTAAAAAGCACAAAAAAAAGGTTTAAAGGGTGTGCGGGTGAGGGAGAGCGATTCTAATTTCTCATACCCACCCACATTCTCTTTCGTTTCGTTTCGTGATATAGAGATCTTGATCAACCATTGTAACTGAATTTGTATCGGAAAAAACAAGATAGAAAAAAATATTTTGAAAGTAAATAAATTGATTAAATATAGGTTTTGAAATAGAAAATTTATTAGTATTATTTATTAAAGATATTCGTTTAAAAAATTTATTGCTACCCCTAGAAACTTTAACTTGCGGCGCCTAGGATCCACATCCACCCACTCTTCTTTGTTCTTTACATTCACTAATTTATTTCAAATATCGTAACCAAGTATCTCGGTATAAAACTGAACCTGTAAAATCAAACGATATAAGTTTTATTTTAAATTGATTCAAGCTAAAAGAACTGCATAGAAGGTATTTGTTATATCTTTTAACATAAAAATATATGATAAAATAAAGTATATTTTTATCCACATGCACATCTCACATTGTTTTGTCCTATTAAACTTTTTCTTGAAGTAATTTGAAAATTTTCGAGATAGCAACAGAAACAGCTAGAAGTAAAATTCTCATAACTAACGAACGATCTATAATAAAAACACCAAAAAGTCGAATTTGATATTCTTTAAAACTATTTCGAATATATTCTGTTGAACTTTTCAAATAACGTAAACCATTTTCATTCGTAATTATTCTCCGTCCAACAAATTCATTATCATCATTTTCAATTTGTAATTCTTCATCTCGAACTGCTTCAACATGTGCACGTTGTAATAATTGAGTAAGTTTTTTTATCGATACATAATTAATATTAGAAACAACAGCAAAAATAGAAATGACTGGTAATGCAATAATAATTAAATCAATTAATATTGCAAGATTTTGTGGATTTTATTGAAATTGATCTATAGTCGTTCCATTTAATATTTGAATAATTGAAACAAGTAATAAATCCAAAAGTAACTGTAAATAAATGAAGACGAATACGAGTTGTTTTACTACGACCTAAAATTCGTTTTAATTTCATAAGAAAATAATCCAAATTAGATGGTTTTTTAATATTTAAACATTCTATATTAATTTCATTTTGTTCAATATAAGGTTTATCTGTATAAGCACTACAGTAAAATCTCTAGTAGTGAACACCTCTGTTTTATGAACGGTCTCAGGTCCGACGGAGGGATTTTTTCCAGAAATGCATCTCTCCAATATGAACACCTCCTTATTCTGAACAGTGAACGCTTTTTTTCGGTCCCGTCTGGTATTGTCACCTCTCCAATGTGAACATATATATGCCAGACAGAATTAAGATTTAGGTGAAACTAAACTAAATTTTAAAAAAATTAAAAAAATAATTCAGTTCTTATCATAGTTTTAAATTTTACAGAACTTTAGAATTTGTAAGTTGAATTCAATTGAAATTGAATATAGTTTTAGGAAGATGTAGAGTGCGGTGGATGTATAAAACGAAATATAACGAAAACTGTTTCAAAGAAGATCATAAAGTTTTTTTCATAAGTGAGGTGGGTAGAATAATTATTTTTATCTCATTGAATAAGTTTTATCATATCAGATCGTGCGAATATCATGTCTACTCAATAAAATATTTTAAAATAAGTTTCTCTTAAGCAATTGATACGTTATTTATCTTATAAATTATTACGAATTTTCCAAACCAAAAACAAAATACAATTCGAATTTCCACGCGGAAAGAAAAGCAAATTTTGCTACGGACATATATATGTTGCTTTTTTGACCTCTTCTACTTCCTATCATATGTTTTGATGAGCTGCCTAATTCGAATTCGAATATTAATAGATATCCAACTGCACACTACTAATTCTGAAATAAATAGTGAAATTTAGGAATAGATTCAGTTTTAGGTTTAGTGTTACTCTAAGATGTATATAATTCATATATACGATTAAGGGGTGGGTGAAAGAAGGTGGCAAAGTGAGTGAGGCAGATTTATCTGAAAAGTATTTTAAAACTAAATCTATTGCTAGAAATAGGTATTAGTTTTTCTTTTTTTAAGATCCGTTTATGTTCGAGCTCAAATTAGGTAGCTACTTAAGGGCATAAGCAAATGCTCTAAGATTTCTTCCAATTCACGCTATATTATATATTAACTCTCTATAGTGAACACCTCCGTATAATGAACACTTTCTTCCGGTCCCGTTGGTGTTCACATCAGGGAGGTTTTACTGTATATATTTCTAAACTAATGCAACTCTAAAATTTCTTTTTGTCCAATTACGATGTTTATATGTTTATGAAGCTAGTTCCATTGCACCTTCCATTGATATGAACCACCTGCTATGCGGGCGCTGATTGCACCCTCAATTATCGAATCAGGACGTAGCCATAGTATGCCATTAACATTTGTTTCGAACAATGAAGATGATTGTTGCCAAATTACTATGCCACTTTCTTCAATGGATACGCAACGAGCCGCCGGTTTCATAGGTTCAAATGTAATAATCGAATAAAATGAATGTGGTATAGTCACGTTATAGGTGACCGTATTGTCGTTAGTATGTCGTTGCCATGCAACAAAAATCGATCCCTTGATTGTATGCACTTCTGCGTCTACATTTGTCAGAAGAGTAGTAAGCCGTGGATGAATAATAAAATCTTCATTAAAACCATTTAGTTGTATTCCGGCTAGGTATCGATAGAACCAAGCGCCAATACTATTAAACATGTGATGATTGAGACTATCAGTACCACCAACACCTTTTATTAAAGCATGATATGTTTCCCAATTTGTTGTGGCATTTTGTACATCATTATTGAACATGTAACCGAAAGATGGATAGGTTGTCTGAGTCGCTATTGTTACTGCTAAATCATGATACCCGGCCTCGGTCAAAACAGGAAATAGTGCAGCTGTACCAACGATACCAGTTGTCGAATGATTGTTATTAGTAGCAATGTTATCTACAAGTGATTTAATAATTGATGCACGAAGATTTTCAGGTACAACATTGGGTAATCTCAATGCAAGTACATTTGCTGTTTGATATCCTTCTGCATAACCATTGACTTGTGAATTGTAAAATGTTGTATGAAATTCTGTTGCCAATTGATTATACAATTTGCTATACTTATCAACATTTGTCTGATTGTTAAGAACTTTAGAAAGTGTAATCATTGTTTGTACGTCACTAAGATATGAAAATGCAGAGACTAATGAACTGTTTGTTACAGGATAATGAACTGGTGTTTCCCAATCACCATAAGCAAAATACATATTTGCCAAACCACCCTGTTGTGCACGACTAGTCAAATAATCTACCCATCCTTGTATTCCAATGTAATGTTCTTTCACGGTTGCAGTATCATTATAATGTTGATAGATACGCCAAGTAATCTCCGGATATGCATGTGCCCATGATGGATCTGCTACATATCCACCGACTGAAAATGGTGCTGTATCAGGAATTGATCCGTCTGCATGTTGAACATCTGCAATATTTCGAAGAGAATTTACATATAAACCATACAAATCAAAGTTGAACAGGGCTACATCGACTGATAACGCTGCATCACCAAGCCAACCTCGTCGTTCTTGTCGCTGACTACAATCTGTTATAATTGACATAATATTACTCAGTTGTGACCATAAAATATTATGTTGAATTTGATTGAGTACGAGTGATGAAGAAGTAAAATTACCTATGAGAGTAGTTTCACTGTGTATTGCCGAGCAAACAACTGACTCAATATTAATGTAATTAGCATATATTGAAATGTAACGAAACCCATGATAAGTAAACATAGGTTCCAATATTTCATGTGGATTACCTTGAATGATAAAATCATCAGATGCAGTAATTATTTGATAATTGGCAGAATTGAGACCTTGATATTGAATTCCATCTTCGCCCGGTTTATCTAGCAATTCTGCATGTCGCGTTGATACAGTCATACCTTTTCTGCCTGTAATTGTCAAAGTGCAGTAGCCAGCAATATTTTGTGTAACGTCATATGTTGGTACTTGTTGATTTGGTATTGGTGTAGCATTAAATATACCACCATTCATCACATTACCGCCATTTACTCCAGGTGGCATTAGTCTGTAGCCAGTTTGCGATGCTGATGTGGCAATATGAAGCGCATATGGACTAATTCGTATTGGATCCATAGATTGATATGTTAATTGACCAGTCGGTGACGACAGAGGCGATTCGATCAAAGATGCATTTAACCACAAACTATATGGATCCTTAAAACCAGCTGTTGACCAGTTATATCGTTCGGCACGCGTATCATAGAATGTACCCATATATATACTATCTTTACGATGGGCTCCTTCACGACCGAGCCATGTTGTATCGGTACTAATATTCATTGTTGTATGATCGTTAAGCACGATATTGACTTGTAAGAGCAGGCGTGGTGGTGGACCAAATACTTCTGATGCTGGTGGAGGAACTCCTCCACCCCATTGTTCATTAGTATAAAATCCGAGTCCTAATTGTACGCCAATGCAGTTAGTGGATTGTCCTTTAAGAAATTGCGTTATATCATAGGAAACATATAGAACACGTTGTGTATATGTAGTCCATCCAGGATCGAAACGACGCGAGGGATCAACATTTATACCATTTATATATAATGTACCGTAACCCATACCACTCATAAATACAGTAGCTGACAGGATGCTTTGTGGAACATCAAATTCACGTCTTAACTCATTCATATTGATTTGGCGCGAACCTATCCAACTCGCTGTCAGCTCATTTTTCGGATTAAACAAAGCGGTTCGAAATTCACCAGTTATTATCTCACTAGCCGCACCAGTAGATGACCAGTATTGAATGGAGTATATGTATCTTGTATCAGATGTCAAAGCTGAACCATTGTAGAGAACATTTGTATTTAAATCTGATAAAACACGTCCCGAATCATAGATGACCAAGGGCGTCTGTTTCGGAGAATAGAAACTGAGTTTTTGAGCAACAGTTAACCGATATGCTATCTGCTGAATACCACGTAATAACGTACCATTGTACGGACACTTTTCATCATCAATTGACCAGGAAAAGATTGGTGTCTCAACAACGATGTCAGAATGAGTGTCTACGTCGTGATGATCGATGCGAACATGACGCGGTCGAGGTGAGGTATATGGTAATCGTGCGTAAATGGAACTTGATAGGAATAGAATAAACAGTGTTGATAGGAAGACAGAAGCCATAATAATAATGTCCAGAAAATCTTAATAAATTATTAGGTATAGATGTGTGTGTGTGTGTCTTTTTTATCTAGGTGGAAAAAAAAGAAGAATGAGAGATAGCATTTTTCATATTAAAAAAAAAAGGGTTGATACATCATAATGTAAGAACAAAGATAAACATCTTACCCGTGGTATTTCAGGATAAGAAGACAAAAGAATAGGTAGACGAGATGGTGAAGAAAATAAAATGTAAATTTCATTACTATGATACCTGTTAAAACTAAAGTAGACGAAGGCTTGATAATATGAATAATGGGTAGCCCATAAAGAATGGTTGCCTCAGTATATTTCAAATATTTCTGCCAATTTTTTCCATTTGGGTGTGTGTGAGAATCTTTGTTTTATATAATCCACATTTATATTCTGAAACAATTTTTATTTCTTGCTTTTTCAATAAAGAAAATAATAAAACAAACAACATATACGTCGATATACAATTTTGGTTAAAAGATCCCGTGAAATTCAAACTAAGTTTAAATAAGATGATTCGATATTATGTTTCATATGTTCTGTTTTCTCAACATTGCTTGTAACAAATATCTTTTTAAGTTTTAGAAAATCTAATCATTCTGCTATCGATTGATTTCAAAGGCTCGAGTTTTCATGTTCCATTAGTTTATTTTTATATAAATTAGAATTTTATTTCTAATTTTATAGAAGAGGCACTATCTGTTCTTGACATGAACATCCGAGAGAATACGAGTGGGAAGCATATTTCCTTTTCTTTCTTCAATCGTAGAAGAAATGAAAACTGTCAGAAACAGACACAACGGATGCTTGTTGCCACAAATGAATCTACGTTTATTAAAAAGAATATCTTCAATTTTTTTTCTCTGTCAGAAACTAATACAAAATAACCATTGACTAACAATTATTTATCATGGAACTCAATTCAAGCGATGCATTACCTTCTGTTGATGGAAAAGATTCCAATATATTGCAAATGTCATTAATTGAAAGAAATATCAAGTTTTATATCCTTCTTGTTCTAGTTATTCCTTCACTTTATTGTACACTTTTCAGGTAAGTTTGCATAAATATTTCATTATTTACAAAAGTCTATAAATGATCGTTGTTCTATGTCAAAAAAACCTATGAGGCCATACCAATTCTTCTAGAATTCTGATAATAAGAAAAAAAAGAATATTTTCTGTCATTTTATTTAATATTCGTTTAAGTTGAGAAATGATCTAAGAACAATTATTTTTATTTTAGTTTTCGTTATTTTAAGCGACACGAATTGCATAATCGAATCCTATTTCCTCTTCTTGTGAATAATATGTTTATTATATTTACCGAACTTCCTATTACACTAATGTATTTACACAATGGATCTGTTCCTTCTGAAAATCTATGTTCAGCATGGATCATAATTAGTTCGTCATTTTTTCATTCGAGTATTATTCTGATGGGATGGGCATCAATTGAACGATACTTATTCATATATCATGAACATATTATTACAAGACACTATGCACTGCTGCATACGGTGCCTATTGTATGTATTCTTTTGTACTGTCCACTATTCTATGTGGGAGTGGTGATACTACACAAATGTCAGTCAGACTATGATATATATCGATATGTTTGTGGTGGAGCATGTTACAAATACGAATTGGTTCTTGGTCTAGTCGATTGGATTGGAAATGTGGTGTGTGTAGTGCTCTTCACGTTCATTGTTAATCTTATCTTGATTATTCGTCATGCCATGCAACGGCATCGAATGAAAGGATGTATTATCATAGTAGGAAAAAATCAACAATGGGTAAGAATGATGATAAGATTTTTTCTCTAACATTTTTCGTATACATCTATCATAATTTGTTCTAGCGTCGTTCAATGAAGATGATCATCCAATTACTTTCAATTTCTCTGCTATATATGATCGAATGGATTCCATATTCTATAATTGCACTTATTCAAATATTTGCCAATAATCAGTTACTGTCATATCTTATCTCAACATATTTTACTTTTATTCCATACTTACAAACTCTATTATTACCTTATATTTGTCTTCTCTTCATGCCCAACATTAAACGCAAGTTGTATAACATACTCTTCTCATCATGCAGCAGAAAAATAATTCATCAAAAAACTCAAGTGCATATTATAATTAATAAACAGTGTCCTGTCATTGTTTAAAAATCTTTAATTAGTTAATACCAGATGTTTTCAATTCTAATTAAATATTTTTTTCTTTCAACATAAAAATAAAAAAAAGTTTGAGATAATTATTGCAGTACTTTCATTGTATTTTATATTTGAATTCTGTATCGATAGTTTGTTACTATATATATGTTAATACAAAATATAAAATTTAGTATATCGTATCGTTTAAACTAAATGTCGAGATAGTGTATCAATAAGTTTGTCGATACAATTGATTATTGACTGTCTACCAAATAGCTAACCGGAAAAAAAATAATTTTAGGTCGTGTAGAACAATAAATGTTCGACATCTATTAGATTTATTGATGGTACTTATATGAATATCACTTTATTCTATGAGATGAACAAGAGAAGATAATGAATCGATTGATATTGATATCTTATTCATATATCTCCACTAATTATCTTCGTAATTGTAATGCATTGTGAATTATAAATCTACTTTTTAACGATAAAATATATCATTTTTACAATGATAAAAGTGTCTTAATCGCCAATCGATAGACAGTATCTTATGAAATTCTGTCAATATTAAATATTACTTAATAGTTTGTAGCAATACTTTTTTCTGTTTGATATTTTATTGTGTCGTAAATCTATCAGCAATCCGTTAGAAATATCTAGTTAATCTTACTCCTCTCAAACCATCCATTCATACCAAACATGATAGTCGATTGTCATTGTAAATCTGACTATTTATTCTATAAATTTGTTTTGTTCTTAAATCTGATTATATAAATATTCTACCTTGATAGATACGTCATACAAATGAATGCGCATTAACTATGATAAATTATTCGACTTTCGTAAAAAATCAAAGTTAAAAATATAGTTCTACCGAATGATACACTTCTTTCTGTTACATGAATAAATTTATCATATAATACTGCTGGTGACATTTACAATAACATATTAAAAAAATGTTAATAGGAAGAACAAACAATTTCTATTCAATTACCAACATATGTTTACAATAATGATACATTAAATTACCAAGGGAAATAAAAAGATAGAGAGAAAAATATAAGAATAGAAAAGAATCGATATTAAATATAAAAGTGCAATGCATTAACTACATACGCATAATAATTTCATATAACTTGTGCACGATTGTTACAAAAAAAACAACAATATGCTTGTTCGTTTTATCTTCATTTATACGGTTGCTATTATTGGTGTGACGACGAATGGATTAGGGCTTACTCAACTAGGAAGATGTATTATGTCCGAATCAGCATCGGGTAATAGAGCTGAACATATAGCTATGGGTTTTGCTTGTCCACGCAATCCAAATCATCTTTCAAATATATTTCCAAATCCTGACATAACTCGTATAGCTCAAGACATCAACGCACATAGATTAAGTGATCCAACCCAGGGTGCAAATCGATGGTATTCACCTCGTTTAATGCCTCAGGAGAACGAATCTGCAAAATGTCGAGGTCCTATTGGTTCAGGTAGTATAGACTGCGGTGGAGGATTAGAAACTCAATGTGGTACCAGCAGAAATTATAAACCTAGTTGGGCTACAGCAGACAAATACATCATTATTGGTGATGTTCGCCCTTGTTATTACAAATTTTATAAAATCTAATATATCATTATTGTAATAACTAAATTTTTTCATCAAGACAAATAAATCTTGAATTATCATTTGTCAAACAAGACGATGATTCTTTTTTTATATCTTGAGGACACATGTGAGAGTTTGGGTGAAATGTTATATGATATATTCTGTAAGATGCATAAAGTGAAGAAAAATACTATTGAAAATTGTTTTATTATGGCATGATATATCTCTTGCAATTCCTTACGTACTACTGATATCGTTGAGTTTTTAAGGAGTGAATATTGTGAAGAGAAGAATAAAGAACAGAAAGGAACGATAACATCTTTGATAAAAGCCAAGGTATATTTTTCTTTGCGCAACTCTTCATTTTCAAAAATCTCTTAATATTTTCATTGTTCTGTATTGTATGGCTAACCTGTTATCAAGAGAATTGTGCACCACGTGTGGGAAAGGAACTGGTATTTTTAAATGTCAAGGCTGTTTGAAAATATTTTGTACGAAACATTCAGTCGAACATCGACAAAAACTTCATATTGAACTTGATGAACTTATTGAAAAACAGGAGAAACATTTTCAAGAATTGACGAAAGAAAATGATCGTTTTGATACTATAATCAATGGAATAAAGAAATGGGAAAATGAATGGATCGAAAAAGTTAAACAAGTGGCGAAAGATGCTCAGCTCGAAATCGAAAATGCTAGTCAATCTATCAAAGGTTCATGTGATTAGACGAGAAAAAAAAAAATTTATTTTCATGTATTTCTTCTTTAGAAATGCTGGAAGAAAAAATCTCATCAATTAAGAAACAACTTATTCAAGCAAAAGAAGATGATGATTTCATCGAGATAGATTTGACTACTTGGTCAACAGCATTGGAAGAACTTAAACAAGATGTTCTCACTCATTCTCAAGCTATTCCTTTATCAGATAACCCAAATACAATGTTGGAACAGAGAATGATTGATAGAACACCCATTCTAAGCAGTGACGACGACGAAGACTTTGTTTCTGTTACAGGATCTATCATTGAAACTCTTGATAAGATTTCACATTTCTCTATGGAGACTGCTCGAACGGAAGACAACATAGGTAAATGATAGTTTCGGCTCGAGCCCTTTTTTTTGTAAATTTAATAGTAGTCAGAGGTATCTTAATTAATTCGCTAAGTAAAATGGTTTCATGTTATTTAGATCGTCAATGCTCTACTCCAACGAACGACGAAACTTCAACTGATGATCAATCTGATCAAAGCGAAAATTTGCAGTGTAATGCAACTGTAATGCAAAGCCGTCCTATTCGTGGTTATCGTGGGGGTTTTAGAGGTACTCGTGCTACTGTCACCCACAACTACAAGCAATCTCAATGTGACCTCAATACTTATAGTCCATGGGATCAACTAAACTATCATGCTTCTACAGATCGTGGCAGAGGATCACATAGACCCACGAAACGTCGGCAACGTAGTCGACATAAAAATTGTGATCAGGGTGAATAGGGATATTACTCAAACTAAACAACAATATATTCATTATTCACTTTAATAAATCCAAAACATGTGCTTAATAGCCTTTGATTTTAATACAATTATTCCCAATAAGCTTAAGTTTATTCAATATCGATTATTTTCATAATTGTAATCAAAAAAGAATTTGATGATACAAAGTATCGATTTATATGAAACCATAAGATTCTTTCAATTAGTTACGCTAATTTTGTTTTCGTACCAGACATATACATTGTTATTTTTCTTTCTTTTCAAATTTATTAGAAGTGAAATGAATTGATAATTATTTTGCAGTAAAAACAATTTAATGATAAAATTCTCTTGATTTATTAATATAAAAAAAAAAATTTAAACTCATCAATTATAAAAACAAGGTAACAAAGAAGAAATTTAAATAAAATAGTCTAGAAAAGTGGATCGATTATGCAACATTATTAGGATTCATACCTAATTTACTTGCTCGTAAACGTGCTGCTTCTGCTCGTGATTGGATTATTGGAATAAAGATAATACCCGTAATTTGAATAGCTGCTGGACATGTTATTCGCCATTCAATAGCTTTGATATCATCACCTGGCTGCGCAACATATGATGGAACAGTACTTGCAAAAGCTTTAAATGCGTCGTTTCTTATTCGACAATCGAGTACAGCAATCATTTGTTGATCCCCAGAAGAAAATGTCACAGCATAAACAGGATCAGAACAATAATGTATACTTGGACTAACAAATAGTGCGTTAGCAAAATCAGGAATACCAAAAGCTTGAACTCCTCGTGCAATATGACCTGCAGGTGGACAAACACGAAAACCATTAGAAACAACTGTACTTGGCATAACAAGTCCATCCATTAATATCGATCGAATAACATTAATAGATGTACCATGATACGCTTGATGTGGAAAAAGTTCCACGTCAGGTTCTTGTATTTTCAAATATTGACAAGAAACAGGAGTTTGACGTTTTTCAAATAATTTTCCAACAGCATTTTGAATAAACATATCAGGTAAAAGACAAAGTGATTTTGGAATAACTTCTACATGACGAATTAATGCCTGTATACCACCAATACGAGGTAAACGATTATCTTGATCAGTATGAGAGAACCAATACGCTGATGATGATACCCATGTATATAATTTAGCATTCGGTTCATTATCAACTGTTATAGTTGGCATATCATTTAATTTTTCATTTTCAACATTATATGCTGTTTCAAATAGACAAATACATTCGGGTAATTGAAATTTTTTAGCATCAGGTGAAAAGATATAATTTATGTCAATAAGTGTATCGTTGTTAGTGCAACAAGGAGGAAATTTAAATGATACATTGTCAATACGAAATATTTGTGGTTCATTTGAATTACCTTTGATACGAAACGATTTATCTTTCTGTTTAGAACGAAATTCACTGTGAAAAGTACGTAAATTAAGACCATTACGTGGATCTCTTGCTCTATAACCACTATTTATATATCGCTGTGAAGTATAAGCTATAAGACATATTGGTAAATCTAGAAATATTGAGTTAACATGACGAGCACGACATACAGCAGATATTAATGTTGTTTTATCATCAGCAAAATCTAAAGGACTTCGTGCAATTGAAAACCATTTATATGAATCACGTAATTTATCTGGTAATGCTTTAATAAGGTCTTCGATTGTTGCATCACAGTGTAATTGAACTTTTGCTAAAGGTCCATCACCGGCCTTTTTTCCATCATCATATAAATGCACAGGAATATATTTATCAATAGCTAAATTATCTCGATGTTGTTGTAATAATTTTTTAATTTCATCGGTTTGAGCATCATCAATAGGTGTTGAACTAAAACTATTTTTAATATTTATATCAGCGCCTCGCGATAATAATAATTCAGCTGTTGATAAATGTTTATTAAATGCAGCACCATGCAAAGGTGTACTTCGTTTACCTGGTAATTGAAAATTAATATTTGCACCTTTATCTAAAAGCCATTCGGCAATAGATGTTTGACCAAAACGACACGCAACATAGAGTAAACTTGTTCCTTGTCCGTCAACAGAATTTGGTGATTTATCTTCGAAATAATATTGAAACCACCAAACTATTCCTTTAATTGCCATGTCAAACATATTCATATCTCTCATTGCTTGAAATAATTGTTTAATTTTAGTACCATGAACAATTCCTTCTTGTTCTGCTGTCATTCCCCATCTATTAATTAGAATTGAATTTGCACCTTTGTTAAGAAGATAATCTACAATCTTTTCATAACCTCCATATGCAGCAAGGTGTAATGGAGTATTTAAATTAATATCTACAAGATCAAGATTAGCATGTCGTTCTTCAACAAACCATTTAGCAAGATCAAAATATCCTTTTTTACAAGCACAATGAAGTAATGTTTGTCGTTGAGTGTAATATTCTGTATCGATATGATCTCCAATGCGATCAATATTAGCTTTTAACCAATCGAATTGATTTGCAGCTGTTTGTACAAATAAAGTTTCTTTTAATTCTGAAAAAATCTCTTTAATATTAATATTCGGCTCATTATATTCATCTCCAGGTAAATTACCAAAACGATTTTTAATTGTATAATTAGCTCCACATTCTAATAAACATCTTACCATTTCTGGATGTCCAAAAAATGCGGCTGCATGTAAAGCGGTACTTCCCGATCGTTGTTGTAAATCAGGATCAGCATCTTGTTCAATTAAATAATGTACAGCTTCAACATTACAAGCACGTGCTGCACAATATAATGGTGTTTGATCTGTTATGGAATTTTGAGCATTAATTAATCTTAATTTCGAATTTTTTAATCGTTCTTTTAATGATAAAGCAAGATCAGGTTCAGATGCTAATTGTTGAAGTGTATATTCTGATAGATCTAAATTCGATAACCATTTTTGATCTTCATCGTATTTTTTTCTTTTCTCATAATCAGATAATGTTTCATATGCACGACAAATTTCCCGGAATTTTTCTGGTGTAATTTTACGACTTGTAGGATTATTTTGTCGATCTGATTTTAATTCAAGAATTCGCTTACGATATGCTATACGCAATTTAACATCTTCATTTGTTTTCGCTAGTCCAAGAATTTCATATGGTGTTGATGTCGACATATTATTTACTTTTATTCCTCTAACTTCAACGGTAAAAGTTGAAATGAATAAATGTCTCACACTTTTAACGATTCTTTTTGCATCAACACAACAATTTTTTCTCCAAGAAAAAATGCGTTCTTTTTCTTCCTACCTTATAGTTTACCAACTACTCATGAGTTGGTAGTTTCATATTTGTTCTTTTATGTTCTACTAAAATAAAAACATTCTCGGCAGTTGCGCATATTTTATGACGCAGTAACTGTAGCCATAGGTATCTATTTAATAATATACATACAGAATTTCAATTAATGAATCAATCTAATTTTTTTTTCAAAAGTCTAGTTAAAAACAGTGAAGAACTACGTGTTTTATAATTTGTGAAGTTTTTTTAGAATCAGTTATCCAAATTTTAAAAAAATCTGTTGAGATTCTTTCTGCGACGATGTGATAAGTGTAATCATCCGTAATTTTTTTTATAATTCAACCATTCCTTTTTACATAAAAGCATGTGCAAAGAAATAATAAATACCCAAAGAAAAAAAATGAAGAGAAAAAGAACGGAAGATTTCTACGCTTACTCGTTCGTCGCGATACAACTGACGAATGAAGTTTATAATTTTATTTTGTTTTTATAGAAAGATTAGAAATAAAACCATTGAATAACAACAAAATCCATGTTCATTTTCGATTTTAATTGTACGTATGAATTTAAGACGTTGTTTTTGTCTAACATGATTTTTTCATTTGATCAAGAAATGAAAATTTATTCGTGTAAGTAGAATCTTTTTTTTTGAAGTTAGCAACAACAACCGTTCGAATGATAATCATGACTTGATTTGATATTCACTATTAATTACTTTTAAATCTTGAGTAAACTTATTTTCGATAGTAAATAATCCAATGTGTAGAAATATTTTTAATAGATTCAGTTGTCGATTGTTATTTTTCAATAGGATGTTGAAGATCTTTTTTTTACTGATAAATAATAAATTAATAAAATATAAGTTTTATCCAGAATTTTCGTTAAAAAATATATGTTCTGAGAAAATATGATGAATGAATTTCAAGTTTGAAAAAAGTATCTTCTAGGTTTTTTTTGAGAAAAAAAGAAAATACCAGTTTTAAAAGCTTCGATAAGAACTTGATAGGCAAAGACTATGTTTTCTTTTTTTCTTATCTTTCATTTTTTAAAATATATACTTAACAGTCTGTATCAAAGTTTTGTTTCGAAGGTATTTTTTTCGTAGAGAAGAGTCCAGCAAGAATAAATTATTTGCTTGTGTATCTGCACTTTATTGATTGGTCCAAAAAATAGGTAAAGATATAAAAGGAATTTTTTTATAAAGCTTAACCGAAGAATTCAAATCTGACTTCTGTTTTGTTTAATTATATAAAACAATAGCTTGGTAGTTGTTTAGTAACGCGATTCCTACGAGAAAGAGCTTGACGAGCGTTATTTGTTTTTTAAACTAAAGATAAGGACTATAAATCTAGTTACTTCTATTGATAACATCTTTTATAAAAGTGAAGCTTCTTCCGAATATCTTTTTGTGCATACATTTTCATATGTCTGGCAATACATTGTAGGATGAGAGTGTGACTCCGGGCAAAAAAACACATATTTATCTCTACACTTTTAAAGTATTATGTTATTAAAATGTTATATTTACTATTTCAGATTAGTATTGAGATTATGAGTAATATAGGTAAATCGGATGAAAAATATTTGAAACGATGTTTTGAAGAGATAATTTCAATTGTTCATCAAACAATTGAACAATTGCAACCAAAACAATCAAACAGTCAATCGAATAGCCTCCACACAAATTCTGTATTAAATACTGGCATCTATTCATTTACATTAAATAAAAATGAAAATGATCAAATGGATATTCTTCGAGAAAAAATTGAAAATATTATTAATAAATATCAATCTTTTATGAATATATTATTTCAAAAATATTTATTTGATTTTTTAAATCCATATCATTTTAATGAAGATGAAAAAAAATTTACAAATTCATTTAGTATGGATAGTCTTTATCCATTTGAAAGTTCTCTTCGAGGTGCATTAGCATCTCTTGATGGATTTCAAGCAGCATGGGATGGAAATATTCCAAATGTCAAAGATTTTATTCAAAATTATCCAACATTTAAAAATAAACCAGGTCTTCATGGAACAACTCTTTTATATTCAGCAGCACGAAATAATCATACTTCACTTGTTGAATATCTTATTGAAAAAGCTCGATGTTCTATTAATGTACAAAATCTTCAAGAACTTGACAAAGTTTTACAAGCAACAAATGGAAGTTATCGTCCAAATCCATCAGCTGCTTCAACACCATTACATGGCGCATGTTTTCATGGACATTTAGATCTTGTTAAATATTTAATTGAACATGGTGCTGATTATTTTATTCGAAATCAAGCAGGAGAAACACCAATTGACAATGGAAAACGTCGAGAAAATATCCGAAATTTTTTTCTACATTTTCTTCTACTTAATTATTCACAAAAATCAACTTATTTTCCAAAAGAACCTATTAAAGAAAAATTTTCAGCAGATACATATGATTGTCTTTGGGAATATAAACCATTTAATACTGATAAATGGTATTTATTTTCATCGGATGAAGCTTTACAATTAAATCAATCACTTCTAGTAGAAAATGATGAAGATATGAAACAGGAAATTTATTTTCATATAAATTCAATAATTTCAACTGTTTCAGTAATAAAATTTCTTCGAACGGAAGAAAGTCGTACACATAAAAATAATTTATCATGGATTCGTTGTCGTGGATCATCGCTTTGGAATTTTGATTGTTATTCATTTTGGCAAATAATGATTATTAAACATCCAAATATTCATACGAATAGTTCATCTTTATTGAAAGTTTTCGATATACCAAAAACATATGATAGTCGATTTCGATTACAACTTAATTGTTGGTATAATTGTCCAATAGCCGTTAATTCAAATATTGATTCCGCGATGAATTATCGAAGAAAAATCTTTCGTTTTAATGTAGATTTTCTTGATAATGATAAATTAACATTTAATCTTCAATCATTTACATTTGAAAATAATGATAAAACTATATTTGGTTACATAAGATGGTTACCGAAATTAATATCAAGAAATGCAAAATCTATGAATAAAATACAATTTATTGATAATTTTCAAAATTTAGCTAATCTTGATCCGGTACCATTTACAACAAAAAGATTGAAACTAAATGACAAGAATTCATCAGGTAATGAGGATACATTGAATCAAGATGATTTAACATCAGCAACACACACAAATATCGATGATGAAGATGATGATGACGATGATAATTTTCATTATCAAGCACAGGTAAATATTTGTTATTTTAGAGAACTTACATAAATTTTCCGAATTCCCTCCGCATTACAGACCTTAGTAATCGGCGTCAAAGGCCATTGATTACAAATAAAAGCAGTCGCTCATTCCGAGTCATTTCAATAGCTTGAGGGTGTACGTGACAGGTTAGTGCTTCAAGGAGTTACATGCTGCTAAAAAGATCGTTTTTGAACGGGGACTTGGAGGCTTTCGAATTCTCGAGCTCTGAATTAGTCTGTTTCGACGAAGCATGAAGTTCGCTGTTTCCTACATTGTCGAAAGAGTTTTTCTGTCAAAAAGCAGTCTCATGCGTAATGTCGTATGTTAAGTGATCAGTACATCAGCAAACCAATTGATTACCATCCGATTTGATAACCATGTCCTTTCAATACATGATAAAGTGTAAATCTAGGCAAGATCTATATTCTTATGTTAATATTTTATTCAAATAACATGATTATCCAGTTTCCTCGAGTTCCTAAGAACAGTACTTCTCAATAAGTTCGATTGTTTGAAAACGAAACCCAAAACTGCCATTCCCACATGAAAATCACAAATTCAGTATAGGCTAGAAAATACTTTCATACGAAAACGTACTTTCGATATTGTATAAAGGAAAATAACTGAGATTTCAACTGTAAAGTCTTTTAAAAATTATCTTTTTATTAGAGAAACAAAAGATTGGAGAATGACAGTTGGTCAGTAAATGATTTCAAAAAAGACGATGATGATACACAATCGATAAAAAGCGATGATACATCAAGTGAAATATTGGATGATTATCTGGATGAAGCATCAAGTCCAGCACGTGCTGTATCGACATTTGAAGAATCAACTTCATCTGTTGATCGTCAACAATTAATCGCTATTAAAGCTGAATTAGAGAAACAAAATGAAACGAATCAAAATCTTGAAGATCAATTAAAAGCTGCCAATGATCAAATGAATAAATATTTACAAGATTCAAAAGAGAAAACACAAAAACAAAGAGAAGAACATGAAAATTTAAAGAAAAAAATACAATTATTAAATGATGAACAGAGAAGACTTCAAGAAGAAAAAAATCATTTACAAAATATCGAAAAATCTATTAAATCAATTGATTATAAAAATATTGAAACAAAAATTGTACAAGATTTTCTTACACCAAAATATTCTCTGATAATTGATCATTTAAAAAAAACCAAGATTCAATTTAAGAACTATCCTTTGGATAAAATAATCAGAATGAGTTTTCAACAAACAATAAATACTTATACAGTTACTATTGTAGGATTTGAAGAACATCATCAAAAATTTAAAGAAATTTTAACACGATTACGTAATCTTTTACGTTTAACACAAAGTGCAAAAGATTTTTATCAATTAAAATTAAATAAAATGACAAATAATATCAAGCGTATTCTTTCTAAAGTACAACCAAAAACACAACTTTGGAAAGAATATCTTCATTTATTCATTGAAGTATTAAATGATAAGACAGATGAATTTAAAAATTTATTTAATGATCATATTGAAGAAAAAACGAAGAAATTAATAGATCAATCAGTTTTAAATGATATAAATACAATTCGAACTGAAATACATTCACAAACAAATAATTTTATTCAAACAAATTCTTTATTTAATCATATTGAGACGTTTAAACAGCAAGCACTTGAAAAATTTATTAAAGAAAATATAATTTTACAAAGAAATTATCAAGAAAAAAAGCCAACAGCAAAATCAATATCGACTTTACAATATTTTATTGAGAAAATTCGAATGACATTGAAAACAAATGCCAAATTTCAAGGTTATCAATTAGAAAATTATAATCAAATTCCTCATCTCTTACAACGTTTAATTATCTATTATTGTTCTTTTAAAATTCAACTGCCATTATTTGAATCAGCACAAGATCTTTTAAATAAAATTGAACAAAATACAGTTACAACTATTGCAACATCCACTGGATCAGGTTATTTCAATTATTTCTTTTCATGATCTTGAGGGTATGGGAGTGCGGTAGGGACTTACAAAGTCAACTTTTTTGACCTCAAAACCCGACTCCGACTCCAGCGGAGTCATAATCCGGTTTAGGAGTCCATCGCAGCTCTCTAGTGTAGGGCCATTATTTCTCTACATCTGCATGCCCATTCACACCCACACTCTCAAGATTTACTAAACTGTCTGAGTCAGAGATGTAAGCAATCGAGGAAAAACTCCAGCGGACCGGTTGTAACTCTAATCATCGTTATCCTTTTCTTCATGTATATCTTATTGAGCGAGATTTTATTATATTTGTAGGTAAATCGACATTATTACCAGCATTACTTGCTGCTGAAGGATATGATAAAATTCTTGTAACACAACCTCGACGTTTACCATGTACATTGATAGCTGAACGTGTCAATCAAACAATGACAACATTAAAAGATTCATTATCATTGAAACTTGCTGGTTGGGCTGTTAGTGGAGCAGAATCTAATCCAACTGGTCAAATTCTTTATTTAACTGATGGATTATTAAAAGAACGTTTACTTTACGATGAAAATTTTATTCGAAGAGATACACAATTAAATAAATCAATTGTTTTTTTCATTGATGAAGTTCATGAACGTTCTGTTAATATTGATCATTGCTTAGCATTATTAGCACGTATATTAACGATTAAACCAGAATTAAAATCTCAAATGAGATTAATTATTTCATCGGCAACATTAGATACATCTGTACCAAAATTATATCGTCAAATTCCAAATATAAAATTTTCTGAATTCGAAATGCCACAAATGGGTACACTTTATACTGTTACAAAATGTTCTCGACCCAATGAAAATATTCTAAATCTTGTACAAGAATTATATCAACAACGTCGACGATACGATCAAATTCTTTGTTTTGTTAGTTCAGTTAAAGAAGTTAATGAATGTTGTACTTTATTGAAAAAAATAACTGCTGGAGCAATTACTGCTTATCCACTTATTCAATCACAACAAGCATCTGTTCAACAAGAATATATTGATCAAGGATGTGTCTTTTTTTCGACGACAGTGGCTGAAACTTCATTAACATTTCCTCAATTGAAATATGTTATTGATACTGGTTTTATTAATATTCCTGTTTATGATCCAGAATCAAAACGAACTGTACTAAAAGCTGATCGAGCAGCTGAATCAACAATTAAACAACGTCTTGGACGTTTAGGAAGGACACAAGAAGGAACATATTATTCATTATATGATTTTAAAGTTGAAGATAAACGTTTTCCAACACCACAAATTTGTCAATCAGATTTAATGAATATTGAATTTTCATTACGAAAATCACCATTAAAAAAAGGTTTCGAATACATGAAAGATTTCTTTCCCGACAAACCACCACAACATATTCTTGATCATACCATTAAAGAACTTAAAAAATTAGGTTAGTATATTCTTTTTGTCTGAGAGTGTGAGTGGGTGGGCGGCGCCCAATCTTGGTTACACCACTAATTTAAAAAACGATAGATAAATGTAGGATTCATTATTCCTCCATATCTGAAGACCCACCCACATCTTCATATAGATCGTGAGTATTGTTTATTTATTTTCTCTAGGTATTGTGAGTGAAGTTCCAGGTGAAACATTAACAAATCATGGTTTAGCTCTTGCTAAACTACCTGATTTTGGTTCATTAGCCATGTCAAAATGTGTATTAGCTGCATTGAAAGAATATGATTGTGGACGTGATTTGATAATTCTTTCATCAATGTTAGGTGTATTGAATACGACTGCTGTCTTAAAACCTATTCCACAAAAATATAAAAGTACTGATGGAGATTTTATGACATTATTAAATGTATTAGATGATGTTCTATTGGTTAAACAATCTGTAGCTGCGAAAGATTTTCGTTTAGATCGTATTTGTCAAGATAAAGATTTAAAAAGTATTCAACATATTATTCGACAAGCATTGAGACGTTATTCAACTTTAGAAAAAGCATTTAATTTATCTGTTGAATATCGTATACAAGCACAAATTAAATCAAATAATTGGGAATTAATTGCCAAATCTTTATTAACTGGTTATTCGGATAATTTATTCGTATCAATGAAAGAACTTCAAGATCGAGCTCATCTTTTTATTCGTTATAATGGTTCAACAGATAATGATATTGCTGAAATAGATTCTCAATCAGTTTTATCTCGAACAACAAGTAAAATTCCTCCAGCATTAATACTTGCACGAGATATTCGTTATTCAACATCAGTTCGTTCAAAAGCTATACTTTCTTTTATTGGTGATATTAAACCTCAATGGGTTCAACATACTATAACACGACAATTAACATTAAATGCTGAAGAAGAAACACGTCTCAATACTAATAATATATTTACAAGTGCTAAAGCAAAATTTTCTCAGTTAACGAATTTATCATTAAATAATAAAACTATTACTCTATCAGGTCATACAGGGACTATATTTAATGCTGAATTACATGTTCGACAACAAATGGTTGAAGACTTTCGTTTTCAATTAGAAAATAAAAATCCAACTAATACAATACAATATATAAATTTAGCTCGAAATTTAGAAAGTGTTATGAAAATGCCACAAATATTTCATCCAATGATATGGAGATGGGAAAATCAAAAACAAGTTAAAATTAAAATAAATCCAAGTACATCAACAAATACATGTGAAGTTATTGTTACGGCAAGAAATTCCGATTATAAATGTGTTAGAAGAGAATTCGATTCGTTTTTATCATGGTTACAAAGTTGTGCAGTTATTCGACAACCGAATTCAGGTTAGATAATATCTTTTTTTTCTTGAGGGTGGGTGTAAAATGAAAACACTTTTGATTTTCTCTAGGTGTTTCTCCACGTGTTTTCCGTAATCAAGTTCGATCAAAATATGTTGATATCGAAGAAAGAATATCTCATATAACTGATAGTAAACGAACACCTATTGATTTATACAATGGTGCTAAAGGTGCTCAAGCAACACGTGAAACACGAATGGAAGTTGTTGCTTGGATAGCTGTTTGTAGATTTGGTTGTAGATTAGAAGGTGGTTTTGTACGTGATTGGGTTGTTGGAAATTATACATCACGACCAGCTAGTCTCTTAGCAAATCCAAGTGCATGGATATCATATAGTAATTCAATTCCTTATCTTACTAAAGAAGTTGTTCCAGCCGATTTAGATTGTCATTTACCGACACATCAATATTTTGATATTGAAAAATTTCATGATGAACTTTATAAATATGATATTAGTTGTAAAGTATTTCGACAAGATTGGCGATATGTTTTATTAATTGATGAAAATGCTAAAACAGGTCCATTTACAATGGATTTAATTGAACCACATGTAGCATTAACACATGATCGAATTGATTTTGATGTTAATAATTTATCATTAGAAAAAGATTATACACATGAATTAGGTATGCGTGTTGATATTCAACAAAGACCATATTCAATTGAAATTGAAACAATTGTTGATAATATTAAAAATAAACGTTTTCAAATTCTTCGTCCAATTGATCATTTTCTTGTTGAACGTATTGATAAAATGGTAAATATACGTCAATGGACACAACTTGGAGAACCATTTCTAGTTGTACCAAATCCAAATTCGAAATATCCAGCCGTTCTTGTTCCATTACCATCATCAACAAAATTATATCAAGATTTAAAAACACATATGCAAAAAATTTCAACAGCAATTCAAATTCTTTCTATTGAACAAGTAAAAAATCCATTGTTAGAAGAATCATATGAATCAATGAAAAGTATTATTGCTCGACAATGTACAAGTGTAAATCCTAATGAACGTTATCTATTTCATGGAACGAAAGGACCTGGTATTGATGGAATTAGAGATGATGGTTTTGATGATCGATATTACAATGCAAGTGGAAATTGGGGTTAGTATTTTCTGAATTTAAACTATTGTTTATTTATTGTTAATTTAATGAATAGGTCATGGTGCATATTTTGCTGATGATCCAAAAAAATCTCATGCATATACAAGTGAAGATGCAACAGACAAAACACGTGTTATGTATTATAATAAAGTCTTATTAGGTATCGAATCACAACAAACAGCTATCAATAAACAATTAGTTTCAGCACCTATTGGATGTCATTCAGTCGTTGGAACATTGAACGGATTCAATGAATATATTGTTTATCGTTATGGTCAAGCTTTACCTTACTTTAAAATAATATATAAAGCATAATTCAGACATTTAAATTTTCTTTTTTTTTCGAAAATTATTTCATTGATTTAGTGTAATTTGTTTGCAGAATAAATCTTAAGCGTATAGAAAAAATATGAAAAAAAAAGTAAAGAACGAGCATTTTTAGGGTTCACACGTTGATTTTGTTTACCATAAAAAAGTACGATTAATGCCGTACTTTAACGTTCGACTGTCATTATTTTTTTGCCTTGTCATCATCATATAAAATCGTTCTCCTTTTTTTTTCTCTTCTTTTCTTCGTTGTCGTAAAAGAGAGGTGTGATATAAAGGAGTGACACTTTTAAAAACATCGTCATTAGTTTATAAGCATTACTTTTATAATGGCAGATTCTCTACACCGTTTAAATTCTTCATCTAGTGATCCAAATTTTAAATTATCATGTGATATTCTTCTTTCCAAAGCTGTTCGTCATGATCAATCATCAATTGATTCAATTCTTGCACATGATAATCCTGAAGAACCTACTATTGTTCTTCCTGATGGTCAAATATATTTCTGGTATTTAGCTATAGGCAGTATGAATAATCCTGTTTCTCTTCATTTACGAGATCTTCATCCAATTATTTCGTATCCAGCAAGATGTCTAAAGTATCGTATTGTATTTCGAGCACCTGGTGGTATGGCCGATTTAGAACCATTAGAAGAAGCTGAGTTCGATGGAGTTGTTCATTTACTTAATGAAGAACAAATGACACGTTTAGATAAAATGGAAATGGTTTATAAACGTATTAGAGTTCCGGTAATTGATTATCAAAATAAATCTCATATTGTCTATGCATATAAAATGGATATAACTCAAGCACCAGAAGGTCTTCCAACTGAACGTTATCTTGATATAATTGTAAAAGGATGTGAACATTATGGTGTTCGCCCAGATTATGTCAATCGATTACGACAAGAACAACCAGTTATACCTCGAAAACAACCACATATGTATCAATCATTTCCTGATTTACCATCTGATGTATATTATACACCCGAGGAACTTGCACGACATAATGGAAATGATCCTGAACTTCCACTCTGGATTTGTGTTAATGGTAAAATTCTAGAATATGCTGGATTACCATCCAGTGAAGATCCTGATTACGAATCACAAAAACGTTTTTATTCATTTGTTCAAACACAATTTGGTGGACGTGAAATTGATTATGGTTTGTCTAAGGCTTTATATGAACCTTATTATAAGGTACCATTGCATGAAAATGATTTGAGTGATGAGCATCGAGCAATGATTGAAGATCATTATTTTACAATGCAGTTTAGAAATAATCAAAAAAATTATTGGAAACCAATTGGACGACTTCGACGATCAGATAATACTGCAAACTCATCCTCATGAATCCATTACAAACCAAATATATTTTATTATTAAACTTATTCATAGAACAGTTTTTTGATTCCATCAGAAATTGTGAAAATAAATTATTCAAATTAAACAAATAATGTATCAAAAGAGATATGTTTCTTGAGGGTGTGGGTGTAATCTTTACCCCGCACCTACATCCACCCCACACCCCTCAAAAAATTCCTTGACTAATAAAATATTTGGAAGAACTCAAAACAGAATACGAATTATTTATATTTATTTAATGAAAAAAGAAAAATCTAGATGTATGAAATTCTTTAATGTACATATATTTTCTCATACTATTGAGGAATATGGATAATACTATTTCGATTAAGTGTCATTCTCGAGATATTGAATGATAAATAGTGTTGAGTCGTTACTAAATTTAAAAAAAAAGTTATGCATGTTTTAATCAGTATATTGTGAAAGAAAGAAACGGGCTGTTTTTCTACGGATTTATTTTTGTTTTTGATGATTTTTACGTTCATAATGACGTTCGCACTCTCTCCTGTTATCCGTAAGATAGTCTCCTCTATCGATTTGCATATCAAGTTAGAAATCGTGGTTTTGTTAGAAATAATGCATATTCTGTTCTAAATACGAAGACAATAAAGAAGAAAAAAATAATCGAAGCAAAACTAAATTCATTTTATTTACGATAGATGTGGATACACAAAAGGGAAGGAAAATGTTTCTTGTTGCTAACTACTTTCAATAATCCGTAATATGAAATATAGTCTTTTCTGAATGATGATAACTAGAAAATAGGAATAATTGAAAATGAATATTAAGCACCAGAAATTAAGTCAGCAAATTCGGCAGTAGTAATAACATATGCTTGCTTTGACAAGACCTTCTTTATGAGAACATCGTGAACTTCAGGATCAGGATCGGCAGTTGCATCGGCGAGAACATACAATTGATAGTCGCGATCAGCAGCATCGCGAACGGTAGATAAAACTACACCACTAGTGGAGATACCGGCAAGAATCAGATTTGTGATACCTCGTTCACGTAATTGCTTGTCGAGATCAGTGGTGGAGAACGCTCCAAAACGAGTTTTGCGAACGACGATGTCTCCAGCTTGCGGTGCTACATTTTTGTGAAAGGCGGAATCCGGACTGTCATTCTGCATACGGCGACTACCCGCAACTGCACTAAAAGCTTTGTTAGTATTTGGAATGGCAGCATAGTCTGAATCTTCAAAAGCTACACGAACATGGCCGACCTGTATACCTTGCTTCCGAGCGATGGAGATTGCATTAACTGCCTGAGTGAGGAGTCCCTCTGAGTTTGGGAGCATGCCAATTATGCCAGCCTGAAAGTCCATTACGAGTAGTGCAGACTTCTTACTGTCAATGTTTGGTGTTGTCATGTTTGATTGATCACACAGATGACGTCGAAACGAAGATCTCGAATAAGCAGTGATAATAGTAGTAATATATGTTCAGAGTTTCAATTAGCCAAAGTTTTTAAAATTTGTTTTCACTTATAAAAAGTAGAGATTACTATTTTTGCTACAAGATCTTCAAGTTCTAAGGTTTCCCACTTCGATTTATTTCAATGGCGTGAAAGAAAATTTTTTAAATTTAGCTCTTAATTGATGTAATTCAGTAGGAATTGAGGAACTTGAAATAAAAATAGTATTGATACTTAATTATTAGAGAAATGATTGCTCTACAACACGTTTATTGATTAGGGTAGTATCTTATCAGACGCTACTGCCCTCTAACAATTTTATTACAGTATTGTGATTTGAAATCAACAATCAAATTATATATTCTTGTAAAGAATACTTGGAACTATCTAACAGTAGACAGTCAACGGAATCAACTGAACTAATATAAAAGAGTTGAAATCGCTTAAAAACTTGGGAAAGATATATTACAAACACTAAAAAGAAGTGATGGTAATGTGTTCACCCTTGTACTTTTAAACAGTAAACAAGAAAGAAGAAAAAAAGAAAATGACGGCCATGTAGCTACCTTAACGCTTCGAGAAAAAAAAACATAATGACGGTAATGTAACCATTTTAACGCCTATAAGAGAAAGAAAAAAAGAGAATAACGATAATGTGACTATCTTAACGCTCCAAAAAAAAGAAAGAAAAAAAACATAATGACGATATTCAAGGAGGAACAAGTGGACGTCTGTACTTTTGTAGCACAAAAGTACGGAAAAGTACGAAGAAGTACGGAAGCTGGCTTGTTCCCCCTTGATGATAGTGCAGTTAATCTAATATTTCTAAAAACAGTATAATTATGACAGAAGTGTTGTTCTCTATCCTTTATTCTATCATATATTTAAAGAAAGGGAATCAGAATTGGCTGACCGACTTACAATACGATAGCATAGCTATTTATAGATGCATGTGGAGAGAAACAAAAAGATAAATAATGAACAAATCAGAATCCGTCACAGTTATCTTATGATTATTTCTTTCTTTCTAATATGAGAGATAGAAAAATTATTGTAGGGATATGATTTTGAATATACAGATGCACTATGAGTACGCGCACTGATATGCACTAATTAATAATTTTCTGTAACTTTTTAGATAAATGACTTTGTATTCAATCGTTCGTGATGCATTTTTTTAATAAAACGACACGTTTATTGTGAAAAATATAAGAACAGTTGTTAATTTAGTTATGACCGAATGATGCCAATATTATATTTATTTCACATATTCATTGATATTTTCTTTTTAGAAATATGATAATTTGTTAAAAACGTAGATTTATTCTTTGATTTGATTTCTAACTGTTTTATTTTCTTTTTTTCTCGTGTATGTGTGTATAAAATATATTGGTTGCACATGTTTGGAATATGTACTTGATTAATGATATATGATACTGATAGTAAATGTTAAAAATGAAAGGTTATAAAGTATAGTACTTATTTTTTTGAAAAAATATTTACATAGGTACGTAATATAATTCGAACGAAGAACTATTTTATTCCAAAAGATAACTTGTCGAAATTAAACTCGTACTTTAATCTTTATTCTTTCACCTTTTCATTTCTCATCAAAAAAAGTAAATGTTAAAAATTACGACGTGTATACTCTTCGTTCTCTAGGCCATACATTTCACATTATTCATTGATGAAAAAGGTTGTTATTCTGTCCTTTACCTTTTCACACATTGTATATACATCAATACGAAAAAATCAGATGTATAAATAACGAATACAATTCATATTTCAAAGCAATTCGAATCATTTTCTACATCAAATGTTATCGAGTATAACTTTCGCTGTTCTACTGTTTTTAGTGAATACTGCTCATAGTTTAGTCGTATGTCCAACTTTGAAAAATGCTGCTAATTTTACTGTAGTTGCTGCTAGTTCAATAAGTAATACAGGACTCACCATCATTAATGGTAGTGTAGCTATGAGTCCAAGCGTTGCATTAACTGGCTTTAATCCGTCGGGTACAATCAATGGTGGTCTTGAACTAGGTACTGGTGTTGCATTACAAGCGCAACAAGATGCCACCACGGCGTACAATAATCTCAGAGACATTACAAACTCTACACAAATGACTGGTGTTGATCTGTCAGGTAGGTCACTTCCACCGGGCGTCTATAAATTCGATTCGACTGCTGGAATCAGTACACCGGCAGGCACCTTGATACTAAACGGAACTGGTATCTATATATTTCAGATTGGTAGTGCTCTTACAACGTCTGCTAATAGCGAAGTTCGACTAATCAATGGTGCCAGGGCTGGTTGTGTATTCTGGCAAATAGGTAGCAGTGCTACGCTTGGTCAATATAGTGTCTTTGTCGGCAATATTCTCGCTTATGCATCTGTTGGATTATCGATCAACGTAACTTATTATGGTCGTATCTATGCCCAAACAGCAGCCGTTACATTGAACAGCGATACTATCATCGGTCAACCGAGTTGTGATGTGTGCCAAACTATCTCTAACTCGGTGCAAGGTACACTCAACCGTAATCTACCTGAAAACAGTACATTATATATTTTTATCATGTTTGTCCTTCTTTTAATTAAATAATAAACAAGTTATCATATTTAGACTTATCCATTTAGTTTCGGAGCCTGTATATATACTGGGCACTTTTTTTATTTGAATATGTATCATATACATTCGAGAATATATGTCTGAAGAAATCTATTTATAAGTGATTAGATATTCAGCAAAAGCTTGTGCATCATGGTATGTTACAAAAATATGATTTCCATCTGTTGTTGAATCGAATCCAACAGGTCGACTTTTCATTGAACTATTTCCTGCTGTCGTTTTTCCAATTAGAACACGTACAATAAACATAAATCGTTCTCCCTTTGAATTTGGATGAGCATATCCATGACTGTACGCTGCATTTGATGAAAAGTAGACACCCACACCATAAGCCGTTCCTGAAAAAAAAATAACATGAATTCAATAAACAATATTCTAATACAGTTTAAAATTCACCATTTTTTCCTGCAAAACTTCTGTTGAAACAATCGGCGGCAATTGCATATGCCGCATTTTCAGGACAGCCATGATACAAAACTTTTTCGGTGTCGTTACCATGTGTTTTTCGAAAATCTTCTCTGTGTACTAAATATTGTTTGTACCATCGTGGATTTTGAATTCGTTCGATTTTAATTATTTCCTTGTCGCTACCTTGCATTGAGCGACGGAAATCAGCAGCAATTGTCTTGCATTCATTAGATGTCCTTGGTACTATGAAGCATATTTTATTTCCAGTTGGCGATTCCCATGTAGAGGGTAGGGTATCGTCGGTTGTGCTTCTATCGACTACGATAGAAAATGTACGATTAATACAGAAATTTGAATATTCTTACCTTCGGATGCTAAGACTTGTTTACAAAATTCATCATAAACATTCACTTGTCGAGGTTCAATTACGAATCTAACTTTTAAAGTTAAATTTCGTTTTTGAATCTCTTTCTTAATTTCGCTGACCATTGTTTTAACAACAATATTCACTGAACATGCACTTTTTCCACATCCAATAGCAGGAAAAGCAATCGATGTGTAATGATGCGGAAGAATATTTTGAATAACATTCCACATAAAATCAACAATTGATTGTCGAAGAATTGATTCATCAACATTCGGTTTCCATCGTACGAAAAAAATTTGTTTACAAGATAATCGACCTGATGAAGTGACAATTAGTAATGCATTCGGATTACTCGCTATTTGTGCGTTAAACGATTGACGAACATCATCACCAGCTGTATTCAATATTGTTTCTTTTAGAATTTCTGCTGATGAATTGATTACAATCACATCGATCTATCAAAAACAACAGAAAAATAAATATGTATCTTTTACTTGACAATGATCTATCAACAATACATTTTGTGTAGTGATATCACCCATAGAAACTTCAATAGTGGCATTTCTAACGGATGTAGAGATTGTTCTTGTGTTTGGAATCTTTTTCAATGGTTGATCTGAATCAATTTGCTTTTGAAATTCATCATAGATATCTTGTTTTTCTGGTTGGATTATGAATGAAACAGAAATTGGATATTGCTTGATTTGACAACGAACTTCACTAACCATTATTTCGGCAACTGATTGAACTGAACAACCCATTTTACCGCAACCAATAGCTGGAAATGCAATACTTTGATAATTTTCAGCTGCAGCAGCTTTGATAATAGTAGCAAGAAAGTTTTTCAATGCATCACGAAGTAGATTCTCATCTTCGCTACACTTACATGGAAGAAAATAAATTTGTTTTGATGGAAATTTTCCGTTAGTTGCAACAGTAATAAGAGAATTTGTTGTGTTATTTTTTGACTGAGTATTATAAGAAGTCTGTATAGCATCACCACCTAATTTAAGAATATTCTCACGTAGAAAATTTGATGTTGAACATACAACGATTACATCAGTCTAAAGAACATAATCAAAATTGCATTTACAAAGTTAACCTTACTTTTGTACTAGCCAAATCACCTTTTTGAACGTCAATGGATGGCTTGACCGGACATCGCCGGGGCGAAGATGGTTGTTTAGATGCGGGAGAATGTAAAATCAGGTTGTTTTGGGCTGTAGGTGATCGAGTAGTGACTTCTGTTCCCTACTCGTTTTCTACACTTGTTTCGTTGGATTTCGATCTAGAAGTTCCCATGTGTGTATTGGATTTAGTTTTATTTTAATATTAATATATTATAGATGATACTAAAAAGAAATATTTGACTACATCTGCTTCATGTTAAAACAATTTAACTATTAAAATATTCGGTGATATATAGATAAGAAAAGAGAAGATTCAAAAGAAAACATGTGCGACTTTTATCAACAAACATCAAACTAGCATAGTCATTTTATTGACATGTTATCTCCTAAACAAAAAACACTATAGACAAAAAATTTTGATGCACTTCCTAGGATGAATGTAGACGTGGATTTCGATGTATTATATTTCCTTCAGAAAATCTTTGGTATAATATATGGCAAAATCAAAATAGAATACAATTGTCATATACATTTCAACAGAAGGAAAAAGTCTTTATAACCAAAATGATTCATATCATGTTGTAGGTTGTTTCTTCCGAGATTAAATAGTTTTCGCGGAATTTTTCTTATACTTTATTTTTAGTAGTTGACAAATGAGTGTGGGTGTGGGTGAATGTAAGTGAAGGATGAATGAAACACCCACAGCCTCACGATAGTCTATATAGAATTTAGTTAGTCATATTAATTCTTTAGATATGAAGTTTTGTCTTTTACTTCTTTGCTGCTGTTAAAACGAATTTCTATTTTATTAAATATGTTTTTTACTCTGTCCAAGAATAATACTTTTCAAAAAGTAATGAAAAGAGTATGGAAATAATAACTAAATCTGTTCATTGCTCTCTAACAAATGCGTGCAATGAATGAATTCTGATGAAAAAATAATCAAGTAAACATGAATCTGTTCCACAGATGCTTTCTTTTACTTTCGTTAATCAAAACAAAATCACATAACTGATAATGTTTTAAACTTCTACTGAAGAAATATTACAATTTTAGGTGTGATGAAAGAACAAAAGAAAAGAGTATTCGATGAGAATGAAAAATATAGGCATAGAATTTTTTTTTCTGTAGAAAACGCGTACAAAATAAACGTTTCAATGCATTTAAATGAATAACAAATTCAAAGTAAAAGAAATTTATTTTTGATTCCAAGGACACAGACAAGTATTGAGAGAAACAGTTTTATGCTCTTTCAAATAAAAGAGAAATGTGGGAAGTAAAGGAAAAAAAGAGTAAACAAAAATCATTTATTATACTGTGCATACTTTATTTCTTTCATCGATCACACAAAAAACAATGCGATCTATCATCGTCTTGTTTTTCATTATATCTCTTTCATTTGTAAAAGGTTTGTTAGATGAACTTTTTTCACTTAATTGTATCATAATATAAATGAATTCTATAGGACAAACGACACAGCTACCTAATTATTCCTGTAGCGAAAATAATGTTTCTATTCAGTTTACATTGTCTTCATCATCTCATTCAGCATGGAATCAATCATCAAATTGTTCTTTACAACAATGTAATATAAGCTTGAGTAGTAATAATAATTGTCGTTCATCATCAACACCTTGTTTTGATTATCGAACAATAAATAATATCAGTTATTGTGCACCTGGTATTTTATGTTCAATATTAGAAACATGTAATAATATTACACAAACATGTTCATCAAATAGTTCAGTGTGCGTTATTAATTCATGTTGTTCATCACAAGCACTATGTTTACCACTCTTAGCAACACAAACGTGTGAAAGAGGTACTAATACGTATATTATTTACATTTTAGACTTCATCACACTCAACTAAAATAATTCATTTTAGTCATAGTTATAGATAAAGCATCATTCATTCATATAACACCTCTGTCGAGTGATACTTTTCTTGTAGTAAAAACAAATGTAATAGATAGATTAATATAGATGTGTGATAATCATTATTAATTAATAAGAGAAACGAAAACGAGATGAAGAACTGAAATATATTGAAGTGTTCACTTTAGTTAGTGGATGACACATCAACAGAAGTTCATATCTGATTTAGTTGGTAGAATAAGTAACTAACGCTTTATGATAATTCAATGTTGTTCATTTTTTGTGTTTGAGCTGAGATATTATGTCTATAGAACAAACTTTTCTGTTTACGTTTGTTGCATTAAATAGCAAGAGAATATAAATAAATAGATTGAAGTATACGAATGGTCATAAAAGAACATCTGAACTTAAATTTATATTTTGCTTGGTTTCATATTTTTATTTATTCCTCTCTTTTCTGTTGTTGTTGTTGTTCTAATAGTATTAATTTATAGTTATGTTATGTGTAGTTTAAGAGACATTGTTGACCATCAATATTAAACTTATTGTAAAATAAATGAATCATTCGAGACAAAATTTAGGAACAGAATATATGTGAGGGTGAATCAGTTCTAATAGAGAATCTAAGATTATCATTCTGTGATCAATAACTATCTCATCCATTTTTTCTTGATTGATGAGAATGATCGAGTGAACTATACAATTGGACATTAAATACTACCTTTATCTTTATCTTTAGGTTACTCTTTTATCTTATGCTTGGAATACTTGCATAAATTTGTTTTTTCCATGATAGTGTTTATTACATAAAACGATGTGAATGATGAATTGATGAAAAAATTGTTTTTGTGTCAATGGATATAAGTAGAGCATATGGTTAGATATGAAATATGACTGAGAATAGAGTGAAAAGAAGCTAAATAGGTGAATTTGTGTAAATTAATAGACAACTAATAATAATTTGATATTAAACTATGAGAGACTTCGAATTTCATCACTCATTTTCTTATTAGTTTAGATTTTATATCAGTTCCAATGATGAATGCTATATAGTTAGTTTATCATTTATACAGTGATCATTGAAAAAAACAAATCTTATAAATAATTTATTACATTAATTGTCATGTTTAGAGAACTGTGAAGTTAATGAGAAGGAATATGCCTTGAAATCCTGAGAGTAAAAATCCGAAAAACGAAAAATTCGGAAAATTACTGATATCGTTCTAACTAAAGAGAATGATAATATTCTTTCATAAATGTTTATGACTGTCTACGTCAATCTCGATTATCGTCTATACCCAGTGCCATTCTACTTTACTGTGCTCTGCACTTCTATTAGCAGATATACACAGACGTGCATCTTAAGGGTGTGGGTGTTGTGTTCATCCCTTATCCATACCCACACCTTCTAGCTAAAATCAATACTCTTGCCAATAAGGATGTGACAATTCCAGTTCCAAAGAACTGAGCCTAAGCTTTCACAGTCCTAATTGCCAAACATGTTGAGGGCGATGGAATCGATCGCGATGAACATTTCGTGAGACTTTGTTTGTTCGTAGCTATTAAAAAGTGAGCTACATCACTTATCTTCAAATCAAATGATTTCTCTTCTTTCTTGTACATGCTTCTTGGTTAAATAAACTGATGAATATTTTTCCAGAAATATTCCAGATTTTTTTCCGAATTTTGAGATAATACCATGAGAAGTTCATAATTTTCACTCTATTAAATATGTTCCATGCAAAGCTTGTAAATTTTATACAGAATCGAAAAACACATTAGTTAGTGTTATCAGCACACTGATTAGTTTGAGACAAGCATCTTTTATATATCTGATTAAGATTGAGATAACAGAGGAAGTAGAGAATGTAGAAAACTGAAGACGTGATAATGATATGTGAAGAGATTTTATGCAATAGATTTTATTACTATTCTCGGTCTACATAAGTTTGAAGTGATATAAAGCAGCCCACAAAGACTTTCGTTTTTAGAATAATGAAAAATACTGTAGAAGAATAATGAATGTTCATTGTTTTATTATCTAATATTGTATTGTCCAAATATATAAAAAGGTAACTTCTAGGTTGGTTTTATACTGGTAATATGACTAATACACGAGTTGCACACACAGCATCTGTATTGTCAAATGGAAAAATATTAGTTAGTGGTGGAATAGGGATTGGTTATAATAGTGCTGAGCTGTATGATCCATCAACAGGTACTTGGACAACTACTGGCAACATGACTAATGCACGAGATTTGCACACAGCATCTGTATTATCAAATGGAAAAGTACTGGTTACTGGTGGATGGACTGGTTCTGGTATTTCGAATACTGCTGAACTGTATGATCTATCAACAGGTTCTTGGGCAGCTATTAGTACCATGACTACTGAACGAGAATATCACACAGCATCTGTATTATCAAATGGAAAAGTATTGATTACTGGTGGCTCAGGCAATGATTATTTAAATAGTGCTGAGCTGTATGATCCATCAGCAGGTACTTGGACAACTACTGGTAACATGAGTAATGCACGATATTCTCATACAGCATCTGTGTTACGAAATGGAAAAGTGTTAGTTGCTGGTGGAGAGAGTGATGGTGTTAATTATTTAAATACTGCTGAACTGTATGATCCATCAACAGGTACTTGGACAAGTACTAGTAACATGACCAATGCACGATACTGGCACACAGCATCTGTATTATCAAATGGAAAAGTATTAATCGCTGGGGGATGGAATGGTAGTATTATTTATGATAGTGCTGAACTATATGATCCATCAACAGGTATTTGGATAACTACTGGTAGCATGAATAATGCACGACAATATCACACATCATCTGTATTATCAAATGGAAAAGTATTAGTTGCTGGTGGATATAATAATAATGGTTATTTAAATAGTTCTGAATTGTATGATCCGTCAACAGGTATTTGGACAACTACTGGTAGCATGAATAATGCACGGCAATATCATACAGCATCTGTATTATCAAATGGAAAAGTATTAGTTACTGGTGGTTATAATGGCGATCCTTCTTTTATAAATAGTGCAGAATTATATTAGTTATTTCAAGCAAATTAACTTTCAGTTATCCTATTCTTTGTCTTGCAAGTAGTTCAAATTCCAAACAAAACTTTAGTTAGAAAAATTCTGATTTTATGACGTCCGCGAACTGTTTCCCTCCACATTTTTACTAAATTGTCTTACACTTTAATATTCCATCTCAAATAAAAAACATATGTTTTTTTCTGCTCTTATATATTAGTTAATTATGATTAGCAAAACTTACAATTGATACGATAAGTTGAATTATCCTTTCAAATATGTTCTCTTAGTTTCAGAGTGTTGTTTTTCATAATATTTAATTGTTGTGATAGTATTCATCGGATTTAGGATATAAGATCGTTATAATATTTCACTTACAAACAGACTTTGAGGTAAGTTCATGAATGACACACATGAACATATCTATAAATAACAACAACAGATAATCTAAAACAAAATCTATAATCATATCAGATATACGGACTAACGACGTAAACAAAATACTTGCATTTAACTTACCTTAATTTCATATGAATATGTATTTTAACGAAAGAGAATAGACAAAAAGATAATTTCTTTTAAATATTTCTTTGCGATTAGTAATTATCTTATTATCAGTCTTACATTTACCAATTCAAGCCACTCCAAAAAAATCAAGCTGATTAGTGCAGAATATCTATAGAGACGTATCGTTGAAATATGAGGACACAACTGTACACAGATATACTTTTTCTTCGTTATTTTAATTTGTTTTACAAAGTATGAAACTATTCAACTTTGTCTTTGATCCTTTGATTACGGATTTTCTTTTATTACGACGGTTTTTTTGTGTTTCATTCGAAAACAGTCTCAAATAAATTTTATTAGCTTATAAAAGTATTCAGAGATGTTTCGGAGTATGATAGTCTTCGGACATCACACTGATGGCGGGTATGGTACGCTTTTTCTCACATCTGTTTGTATAATTACAAATTATACAAGATCTTCGTGCAATATTTCCTGTTGGGTTTCATAAGAATCATTATTCGTAGATGTTGCCATATTCAGTGAAAAGTTTTACGTAATAGATCTTAATAATAAGAATTGGTTTTGTGAGAATATATATCGAAATATACAAGTCGCTTCTTGTTTAGAATCGACAATTTTATTTATACTAGACAACACATTGAAAAAGAAAAGAAAGAATATATCAGAGCGGGGATGAATCTGAGAACCAGGCGCGTCAGAACGCAAGGGAGAGCACATAAATACACCCATAACTATACGGGATGGTGGCGCAATAATGTTGCCAATATAAGAGGAAAAGAGAGGAGTTTTCTCGATGGAGCCTAAATAATAGTATAATGACAATAATATGTGTGCCCCGTAACCAAAGGGTTAATAATAATTTTATTCTACATAAAAAAGTACACTACATGGAATATAATTGTACAAAAAGGACATGTTGAATAGAAATCTGTTCGAATGATTTGATGAGATACATCATACCAAAAACAACTTCAACCAGTATCACCATTTGACATATTCTAATACATTGTTGTTGTTGTTGGCCAAGATGATGCCATAATAGGTAGAAGTTGAGCTGATAGAATATTTATTTTAGTATTATATTGTTTGGATGAAGAAAGAAAGCACATTATTGTATTAAATTGTTCTTGTGTATCAGTTCTAGCAATTACTGCTGAAACACATTGAAAATCTGTTGAAGATAATAATGAATTATTAAAATTAAACCGATTTTCATTCATACAACGTATTTGTGACGATGAGTATAGTTCAGTTATTTCATTTGTTTTAATAAGAATACAGAGAATTGTAATTCATATTAGAACTGATTTCATTTTTATAGTGAATGATGGATTTTTTTTATATAAGAATCTTCGTATGCCATTATATAATAGGAATAATAAAATAGAACAGAATTTTAATATCATCATCGTTCTTATCTTCATTTATTTATACCAACGCTTTACATAATAAAGTCATAGATATTTATAAAGAATGAAGTTTCATATACGCTGCAAGTATTTTTCTGAAATGTTAATACACATATAGAATGTTATTTTCACTCTGATTACATGCGCTGTTGACTCTGCAATCATGGCGGATATATTAATTAAAATTTAATCAAGAAATTTATTGAGATTTTTACTGTAAATAGAGACAATTTAGATCTACTATCGGTATGAATATTATCGATTTTCTTTTCCGATGAAGTGAAGTTACTCGAAAAAATATTCGTTGCGGAATTTTATCCTTTTTTAAAAATAGCAGCTTGGATCAAAATAGTCATCTAATCTTCACCAGTATTGTATTCTACATTAAATAGTATATTTTTCGTTGAGGCCTGAGAAAATGATTTTTTGAGCATTTTTTATTACGGAGAATTTTTAGAAAAAGTCAAAATTGATATTTTGAAGAATAAACAGGAAAAAACGCTTTCTTGTTATAAAACCGTTTCATTTGTGTATACTGATGAAATTCCGTAACATATTATTTCTGGAACTGATATAAAAATAACAAATCAACCACTGCTCAAGTTGAGTCTATTTGATAGAGCTCCGTGAGTTCTATTTAGAAATAGCAACATGCGCGAGAACAGCATACTATAAACAAGTTTCATAAAAAAGGGAGCTCTTTTGTAATAGTATTATTTTGTTACGTAGATATCTAGTACTTGTTCAACAGCTATGTGTTGAAAGACAATGTTATATTCCATCGATTGACATCTAATAAGTGAATCTTCTCTCTACTTATTATGATTTTATCCCAATGTTTCCCATTGCTATCAATTTACTCTTATTTTTGGACTGGTTGCTTCTAGATAGACTGAATGTGTGTACGTACAGTCAAGGCTGCTTAAGAATCTTAAAGTCAAAGTTGAATAGTTTCATACTATGTAAAAAAAATTAAAATAACGAAGAAAAAGTAGATCTGTGTATAGTTTTGCCTTGATGTTTCAATCGAACTTCTCAATAGATATACTACACTAATCAATTTCCTTTTTTTGAAGTGGCTTGAATTGATAAATGTAAGACTGATAATAAAATAACTACTAATCGCAAAGAAATATTTAAAAGAAATTATCTTTTTGTCTATTCTCTTTCATTCAAATACATATTCATATAAAAATAAGGTAAGTTGAATGTAAGTATCTTGTTTATCTCATTAGTTCGTATATCAGATATGATTATAGATTTTCTTTTAGATTATCTGTTGTTGTTATTTACATACATGTTAATCTATGCTATTTATGAACTTACTTCGAAGTCATTTTGTAATCAAAATGTTTCAACAATCATGCATTCTAAAACTGATGACGACTATCAAAACCTTTAAATAGTATGAAAAATTACACTATTAAATTAACGGAGCATTTGAAAGGATAATTAAAGTTATCGTATCAGTTGTAACTTTTGTTAATCATAATAAACTAATATATAAGAGCAGTAGAAAAAGATGTATTTTTTATTTGGAATAGAATATTAAAATATGTGATAATAAAGTAAAAATATGGAAAGAAATAGTTCGCGGGTGTCATAAAATGAGAATTCTTCTAACCGAAGTTTTGTTTGGAATCTGGGCTACTTGCAAGAAAAAGAATACAATAATTGCAAGTTAATTTGTTTGAAATAATTAATATAGCTCTGTACTACTTAAAGCAATGATACCATTAAATCCACCAGTAACTAATACTTTTCCATTTGATAATACAGCTGCCATGGGATAATATCGTGCATCAGCCATGTTACTAGTAGTTGTCCAAGCGCCTGTTGATGGATCATACAGTTCAGCAGTATTAAAAATAATATTACCATTACCTATACCACCAGTAACTAATACTGTTCCATTTGATAATATAGATGCTGTATGAGTAGATCGTGTATAAGTCATGCTATCAGTAATTGTCCAAGTACCTGTTGATGGGTCATACAGCTCAGCACTATTTAAAAAGCTCGTGTCATTAGTCTGTCCACCAGTAACTAATACTTTTCCATTTGATAATACAGATGCTGTATGAGCTGCTCGTGCATTCATCATGCTAATAGTAGGTGCCCAAGTACCTGTTGATGGATCATACAATTCAGTACTATTTATAGCAATAATACGATCGATCGTACCACCAGTGACTAATACTTTCCCATTTGATAACACAGATGCTGTGTGAGCGTATCGTGCATTAGTCATATTACCCGTAGGTGTCGAAGCACCTGTTGATGAATCATAAAGCTCAGCACTATTTAAAGCAATATCTCCGATGCTTTCTCCACCAGCAACTAATACGTTTCCATTTGATAACACAGATGCGGTGTGAATATATCGTCCATGACTCATATTGCCAGTAGAAAACCATCCTAGAAGTTACATTTTTATATATTTAGACAATACAGTATTATATAATCAAACAATCAACATTCATTAGTCTTGTGCACAGTATTTTTCATTATTATAAAAACGATAGTCTTTGATATGTCTGTTTTATATTATATCAAACTTATGTAGACTGAGAATAGTAATCAGATGTATTGCACAAAATCTCTTCATATGTCATTATGATATCTTCGGTTTTCTATATTTTCTATTTCCTTTGTTATCTCAGTCAAATACATAAAAGATGTATGTCTCAAATTGAACACTCTGATAATTACACTGACTAAGGTGTTTTTCGATTCTCTACAAATTTTACAAGCTATGCTCGAAAGATATTTGATAGAATGAAAAGTATGAACTTCCAATCAATTCTTTTATAGTTCCCTAAATATAACAATTAATACAACAAATTATTCACAATATTTGTGTTTTCAATGATCACTGTATAAGTGGTAAAAGAACAATATAGCATTCATCGCTGAAACTGATATAGAACATGAACTAATGAAGAAATGAATAACTGATCTTGAGGTTTGGGGTGTGGGTGTGTGAAGATAGATGCGGGCATGGATCTGGTCTCTGAAGAAGATAATATTCACAGCAAAACCCTCAAGTAACTCTCTGACTAGAGAACCGTCTCCAGTATTATAAAAAAATGTTGGTAACAGCATGCTGGCATGACATCATATTAAATATGGTATTACGAAAGATGCTCCCGAGACATTTGCTCCCGCGACAATTGCTCCCTGGACATTTGCTCCCGCGACAATTGCTCCCCGGACATTTGCTCCCCACGGACATTTGCTCCCCAATGACATTTTCTCTTCTATGAGATTTGCTCTTCATCAGTATGAAACAGACTAGGGTGTGGGTGTGGGTGTGAGTGTGAGTGTGGATGTGAGTGTGGATGTGAGTGTTAGTGTGGGTGT